TTTCGTTTTATTTGGTTGACTAGCAAAAGGAGTACACTTTAAATCCAAGGCTGGCTGGGAGGGACCCAATCAAACCGAAAGTTTATTTCACAAAGACCAGAAACGATTTTCCTCTACCCACCAAATGTATTCTTCTTTTTCTCCTCGTATAAATTAAACACATATATAAATTCATATCTTTTTTTATTTTCGGTTGTTGGAACATATAATAAATTGTGAAAATTATGATTCAAACTCATTTAGAGAAAAATTATACGAATAAAAATACGCCGTAATTTTATATATGTTGTCGTCCGTCTAGGCCGTTGGCCAAATTTTTTTCTGGACCTTTCTTTAATCACCCATTTGACTTGTCCCCTTGACCAATCGGAATTTACGACAAAGAGGGGCGTTGCCCACATGAATACGTTCAATTACTTTATACATGTAACGAGACACACTAATGACAAACATTTTTTTCCCCCACTACTATTTAATTATAATACGCCATAATTTCAAGTGAATTAAAGGACAAAAACGGCCCTATTAAATTTAATTATACGTGGATTGTGACGAGGTCCTTACCTGTCAAACTGCTCTTTTTATGGGGCATGCGCACTTTGCTTATGGGGTCGTCTTTATCGTATTAGGAGGAAAAAGAGACACGTATTTATTTATATATGAAAATACGTTTATTATTTTTTTATTTTATATTTTGATGTGATTTTATTTATTATTGGGTGTTTTAGTTTTGCAGCTGAACGACTCATAGGGAATGCAGTCGTTTTGACAATGATATTCTGAGGTGTGTGGGGATAGGAAGGGTTTGTTCTTTGTTGAGAATTTGAGATTATTAAAATTAACTCGCTATGATAGATAGGTTTAAGTGTTTAAACAGACTTCTCGTAACGTAGCCAATGATATAACACACTTTTCTGACCACATATGTAAACTCTAATTTATCTTCGTCAATCCGCTATTATGTGTTTTCGTTCACTTAAGTATAATATCCCTTATGTCGCGAGATTATCTACATCAATCTTTAGACTTTTAAGGGTTGAACCTATCTATAGATCACTTCTTCGTGTTCATCATTCTGAATAGTTGAATATTGAGAATAATCATATTTTCCTGTTACCATCTATTCGCTCAATTCTCTCTTCTATTATGTCCTGTATGTGTTTGGAAATCTCCACTTTGTTCTTTATTCCCAATCTCTAACTCTATCCTATTATGTTCTTATTAATTTATATATTGTTAGTTTTGGGTGTGAAAATTCGTGCTTGAAGCAAACAATGGATTTTAGATAAAGTCCATCACGAAACCCAAATCTATCATCAAATCCTTCGCTAAATCCATCAAGCAAACAAGTCATCATGTGTAAGCAAACTTCCTTGATCAAACTAACATGCCATCAGGGTTTTGACATCAAAATCACAAATTGGAAATGGCCAATCGGCCATGCATATGCAATTAAGGGAATCCAATATACAACTTTATTTTGTGACTAGTTGGCAATATGTTTATGTTGTTAATTAAACTATATCTTACATATATATAATTATTAATTAGTCACGTTGATTATGTTGTTAAAGTTATACATTTAATTATGTGTGCGCATAATGCCCTTTTCATCTTTTTTGGCAATGAATTGTGATCGGACACTATAGCCTCTCATCAACTTGCATGCATAATGCCCTTTTCATCTTTTTAGCAAGTTCCTAATTATTGTGTTGTTTATAGCATCATAGATAGGCTAGATTATGGAGTGTCAATACTTTTATTTGGTAATTATCAACTTTCCAATCAGTTTTCTGTGTACGAGGAGGTGTGTGCTTGATTTGAATGTGAATTCAACATGTCGATGAACGTGAAACAAAATGCTTAAAGTAGGGCGAAGTCAATTAATAAATAAGGTATTGAATTTCACATTTTCTGTACATCGATCCGGATCAAAATATTATTTGGTTGAATCCAACATCAACAAAGTTATAATTGTTTTTGTATTTCTTGAATCCCGCGTTTCTGCAATTCGACCATGCAAAAAAAAAAATCCAGGAAAATGCCAAGCTATGTCGTATTCATACATTTTTTTTAATTTTTTACGAACAATAAAATAACAACAACTCGGAGTTAAGGAATTCAAAGCCGGTTATAGCTTAATAACCTCTCCTTGGATTACACCGCCTAAAAAGTATAACTTGCAATAAGTCGTAACCTTAATTACTTCTAATCAGACAACCAAAACTTGTCATGTTTTAATTCGTACGTACTTTAACATCGAACCACTTTTAACAGTAACTTACCGAATCATCAGAATTTACCAGACATTCATGTATTGGTGTCTCAATTCCCATTCTTGTTAATGCAAACACATTACATGATGCAAGTCACTTTCTTGTGCTCGAAAAGGAGGAAGAAATAAATGGATGAAGGAAAGTCATTTTCTTGGGCCATATAGTTTGTGTTGACAGATCTAGGAAATATATTTTCATGGGATCAATTCAACAATAACGAAACACACACATATGTAAAAAATTGACGCGCAGAGAGAAAGAGAATTGAAGTGTGGACGACCAGGAAGAAGAGAGAGTAGTAACTTGACTTGATTCTCCTCTACTCCTCTTCTTCTACCTACATCACACTTCAATGCGATTGCGACCATTCCCCCACACTTCTCTTGATTTTCGAATGATTTCTGCTAAGATTTTTCCAAATGAAGAAAATATCAGTTTTATACTTGGAAACGAGAAATTAGGTTGATGATCAAATGCATTCGAACTTATGCATTTGTGAAAACACGCCTGTTTAGATATGTTGATTGCTTAATTGAAACTGATAATTCATACCAAGCAACAAAGAAACGTTTTAACACGATACTGTATGGACATTCTGGTTGTTGCAAAAAAAATTTGGTTTATTTGGTTGGAAAGAGAGTAGGATTTCTAGAGACAAAACATATGATAGAGACACGATACTCAATGGGATTTACTCATAGTTTGTAGGTGAATTACTTTTTGTAAAAGGATACTTGGTCGGCTGAAAAGAGAGTTGTGTGGTTTCAAATGTTTATGGGTATTATTCATAGTTGCGATTTTGCATGGTCGGGGGGTTTGGAACAACCATGTTTCTAAGTGATTAGTAGATTTTTGGAAGGATTTTGTAGTGACGTGCTTTTTCTGGTCGTTATTTGTAACTTTTATCTCTACTCTTCATAATCAGTGAATGATTTTACTTCCTAGAAGTTTATTTCATTCATAAAAAGATAATAACAAGAATTTACAACCAAAATAACAATAACAAAATCGGTGAAATTTACAAAATAATTATCTCTTTATTTCATTCAAGAGGCTGTGTCTTTATTATCTACCCATGAGAATGGTCAATATTATGAGAAAGATGGTTTATTTTTTCGAGAGGTCCTTTGCACTAAGAAGAAATCACTATTTTTTATCTACCCATGAGAATGGTCAATATTATGCGAAAGATGGTTTATTTCTTCGAGAGGTCCTTTGCACTAAGAAGATCAATCACTATTTTTCATCTATAACGCATTGGTAATTGATTGTGTTTTCTTCTAACATATTCATATATGAATATGAACCAAATTTTAAAAATACCTGATACCAAAAGCAACGCGCCATTTTATACAGAATTAAACTAAATTTCTTGTTAAAATATACTCCGATTTGCTTTGATGTAAGTCATTTTAGACGAATCCAATTTGCCATTTGGATCAATATTTTGTCACACCAATCTACTAAATTTTATTCAATTACAAAAATTAGTTATGCCCACATTTAAATGGGAACAAAAATTCAGAAAGATATTTACACTTAAGTACCCAACCGGCCAACCCTACCCGGCCCATAACTTTCCATATCCTTCGTGGGCTCCTTGTGCAATTTCTTTCCCATGATTTGGTTCCTTTCGTTTTCAGTTTTACACTCTTAATCATGATCATATCTTTGTGGGGATAATCAAAAAAATACACACACACAAGTTCTTATTTGGCTGCCCAATAGAAGACAATTGGAGTTCACATTAATAATTTTGAATAACCAAACATTCATGATGTACCGGTATGTCTATAGCGATTTTGTCTAAACTTCTAATAAAATTTATCTAGAGCTTAGTCGACCACTTATTGAGTGTTTGGTCGATATAGTTGTAGTACCATTACGTGATATGCTTTGTATGGTTTATAGTTATCAACTGCATTCATCTTCAGGTGAATCGTTTTAAGAGAGTGTGCCTATTCCAATAGGAATTCGTATCATTGTATTTCACATGGAACATGAATATCGAGCGTCATACGTGTAGACACCACATTTTGTCCGGTCTGATATCTATTGCGGGAACATCGAATTGCACTTCCAATCGAGCCCGACCCTGAGGGACGGTTGCGACAATACTATCGACATTTTTGTTGCATAGGTCGATCGACCTGCTGTGCATGTCGATCTGTTTAACATAGTTTCTGCCATTTTTGTTACTTAACGACATATATCTATTCCAAAAACTATGGATAACTTTTGCTGGGATTTTAGACCAAATTAGCATAACAAAATATCCAGATGATACATATTCATTAGATAATGCTCATCACGTCATTATCTGATGTGTCGTACTTCATTCCCATCATCCTTGCTATTATTACTGGACTGGGAATTTGCTAGAAACACGCTGATTACAACATAATTCATCTGAATGAAATTCTTCATTTTCTTTTTACATATGTAATTTTCATAAATTTAGAATTGCTAGCCAAGTAGCATGTTTGTTACATTAGCATATAGTATTGGCCACATGGGCATAATAAGTGGGCAACCGAAAGAATAGATAAATTCAAGGATTAGGATTTGATTAACCTGGTTTAAAAGTATATGAACTTAATCGACTAGGTATGAAATTCAAGGGACTTAAATGTGTGTTTTCCCAAATCCCAGGGTTCTCTCCAAAGTCCAAACTAAACCCTAAACCCCATTTTTCTGTCAAAAGAAAAGGGAAAAGAAAAAAGAAAAAAAATCAAAATACACCGCCTCCAAACCATAATTGTAAATTTCCGTCCTAACGCCGCCGGGAACCGTCCACTTAGGTTTTCTCCCGCGGAGTCCTTTCCCCCCGCTCTTTCCTGCCGCCGCTTGCCGGTCTCTGGTTCGCCGTTTTCATGTAAGTGGTATCGCCTCTCTGGATTGATGTTCGTTTAGTTCAATTGGTTGGTACTGCCTTGCCGCATCTTGCTAAGCTTCTGTGCTTTCGATTTCCTCCCCTATACTGTTGTTAGCTGGTTCTACTACTCTGATCTTCCTGATCAATTCTTTTGCTTGTGAGTATGGTGATTGTTCTTGCTTGCGCTGCATTTGGAGTCGATTGTATGATTTGCTCATTTTTTGATCGGTCTCGTGAAGAATTAGTTGTGATAATATGATTTCCCCCCTTTGTGCTGGACAGACAATATGCAGCACGATGAGGTCATATGGCAAGTTATCAGGCACAATCACTGCAGTTTCATGGCCAAGTAAGGCTTCCACATATGAGATACGCATCCTTTTTCTTCTGCTCCTCTGTAAATGTGAGTCTTGAGCTCTGCTGGATATTTTGTCTATGTGCAGGATAACGGCAGGGAACTTCTGTAGGAACCCGTATAACGTCACAGGCATTTGCAATCGGAGTTCTTGTCCCCTCGCCAACAGTCGATACGCCACTATCCGTGACCATGATGGTGCGTTTGTGTGTACATCTCCTTGGCTTTTAGTTTCCAAGTGAATGCATTGGCTTTGATGGAAATGTTGGAAAAGTCTTGAGGATCTTGATTTCTTAGTTGGGCTGATTCTCTCTGGGTCAACTTGTGTTTAGGTGTCTTCTATCTGTACATGAAAACCATAGAGAGGGCTCATAAGCCGAACCAGTTGTGGGAACGAGTGAAGTTGCCGAGGAATTACGAGAAGGCACTTGAAATTATTGACAAGCATCTGGTACGTAGTTCCTATTGTTTCATTGTATTGCCTGGCTTTTGTTGTTGTTCTCATGCTGGCAGCAGCTGATTCCATACTTCTTCCATAAACTTAATTCTTTATTCTTGGGTCATTTTTATCCTATTGGAATTTGTAGATGTACTGGCCAAAGTTACTTATTCACAAGATAAAGCAGCGCCTAACAAAAATGACTCAGATGCGTATTCGTATGCGGAAGCTTGCACTAAAAACACGGTTCGTATTGCTCCTCTTCATCTACAGCGATTTTGTGTGTGCTTTTTGTTACCTTCCCCTTCTCTCTTTCTTTTTTCCCCTATAGAGAATAGTGGCTTTTGGTTTAATATACAAATTATGAATCTTTCATGTTTTCGTCCATAGATTACTTTGCTAGCTTCGTTCTTTTTTTGGGTAAAAACTTTACTAGCTTAGCTCATTGCTAGTTTCCTGCATAAAACATGGCTTTCAAGATATTCTAAATACAAGGGTTTCATGCAATAGTTCCTATGGTAATGAAGGCCAGTGGTAGCTGGTCTAGTTGCTCAATTCAAGTGATGGACAATATAGATCATTATGAAAAAAATGATTGGAAACTGGATTAACTCTAGAAATTCAGGGATCAAAATGATTGGCAATCAGACAGAATGATGTAAATCGTGTAACCATTGATTTTGGTTCCTCGTTATCAAGTTGAATGTGCTTCGGTTTTATGATATCTAATAGTTCTTACTCGAGGATAAATTACACTAATGTTCGTCGTAATTCATAATGATTGTGAGTTTGACTTATAACTGAAGAGAAATTATTTGAACGTTCATTGAAGTCGTAATTATAACAAGTTTGACTAAGCACTGTACGTAAACTATTTGATTGCTGAAAGACAATGAAGAGCGACACTCAGCCAGTCAGTGTTTGGATTGGCGGTTCAGGTTCCAAGCTAGTTGTATAGAGAATTGAGAAAGAAACATAAAAAACAACCCTATGAATTTCTGCTTTGCTATGGGAGGATCTGGGCCATTTCTCATTTATTATCGTTTGAGATTCCTGCTGCTGCAAGCCCTCAAAAGCTATCTTATATGGTAAAGATGTTAACGGTCTCACTTGGGCTGCAGGGAGAAGGTAGTTACACTTCCTAGAAAAGAGATCAAGAGGGACGCAAGAAGGTTGGAGAAAGCTGAGAAGGCAGCTGTTTTGGACAAGGTAATTTATGAACCTTCTGTAAGTGGACGCATTCTTATGGTTACTCTATTCAAGTTCTGACTGATTGCATTGCAGAGTATTGAGAAAGAGTTGGTGGAAAGGCTCAACAAAAACGTTTATGGCGATATCCATAACTATCCAGTTAAGCATTTCGAAAGTCTGCTTGACATGGAAGAATCCCAAATTGATGCTCAAGAAGAGGAAGAGGTATGTAATTGGGTCGGCAGTAAGGATAAGCAATACTTGGAGGTCCCACACTAACAATTATCTTTTGAAACTAGGAGGAATATGATGTCGAATACCTTGAAGGTGATTATGATGAACTGGAAGAGGAAGATGACATTGAAGATTTTGGCAAATTAGCTATGGAATTCCCAGAGGATCATGGTAAAGTTCTCTTGTTTTCGTTGCAAATGTGGGCTAAGAATTCTATTGGTATCTCTAGTTTTATTTGTTAATTTTAAAACCAAGCCAACTGAACTCGAGGGCTCTCAGAGTCAGAGGTCCTTATACCCTAACCTAGCTGACCTGTTCCCTGACAACCAGCAACCTAACCTGACCTCGGAGGCTTTCCTGACTTCCAAAACAGGTGATGAGCTGGACAATGATGAGATGGACGCAGTTGGCAAAAAGGAAAAGAAAAGGTCCGGTTCTGCTCATGGAAAGCTGGGCAACGACGAAGCTAAGAAGAAGAAACCACGGGTGCTGGTTGAGGTTAGTACTCACAATTGACAAATCTACATTGACATTGTAATAGTGCGTGCAAATGCTACAAATAATAGCTTCTTTCTGCTATACCTGTAATGTAAAATATTTTTTTCTTTGCTTCGTATCAGGTCGAGGATGAAGGTGCTGCTGGGAGACGAAAGGCAACCGTTTGAGAGGGAGAGAGATCGATACATGGTTTCTTCACTTCCAGATAGTCTCAGCTTAAAGCCCCCTCTCATTCGGATGCTTACCATTATTCTCCTGGCGAGGAAACTGTCACTCTGTAAGCCGTCAGGGGACCTTCACAACCAGCGAGAATGGAGTCGGACGTGTCAGCTGAAAATCCCTGGTCATTTTCCTTCTCATCAGTTTTGTAACCTTTTAGGGTATCATACAACAGAACTAAGATGTGAAATCCGGATGCATTCACTTCTTCTCTTCTCATTTGTTCAAAGAATGTTGGCTTATGCTACGTTTGTCCACTGTTGTACTCGCCCTAGAGAGAGACGGAAGAGGTGCGTTGCGGGTTCGCCTAATACTTTGGAATCCGTATCGCATCAGGATTTAGGGAACTTTGGGTTTGAAGTACTGTACTTCCATGGTCTCACTAGTTACATATAATTCAATCTTAAATAGAATAACATTCTCCAACAGACCAACACGAAGGCAAATTTAATCAAAATCCAAACCTTAATTACTATCCTTATTAAGCTCCCGTAATAATCATAATGCCTTCCTAATCCTAATGGTCTTCTTTACTTCCTGATTCCCGCCACCGTCATGTACTGATGGCTCAGAGCTCGCACTCTTTGCCGCCGTAGGCTTGGAATGCTCCATCACGACAACCCTCCGCCATCCCCCACCGTTGTCTCGGATAAATTCTTCGACCGAATTCGACGCTTGGCCTGACTTCTCCCGAATATCAACCCGCCGCCAAGCGCCGCCGTTGTCCCCGACACTGCTGGTTTCGAACACCGGCTGTCTCGGAGCTGAGTTGACTTCCTCTTCCTCGCATTTGTTTTCGCCATGCGACTCGGCCGCGGACGGCGCTGTGGTGAGAGTGGAGACGGAAAGCAGGTCGTCGTTCATCATCTCGGCGTTCGCCTTCGCCGATTGAGAAGAATATTAGCGGAGGAGACTGAGTTAATTAGCTTGAGGAATGAGGAGCTTTAAGGTGTCTCTGTTCTTATATAGAGAAGGAAAAAGGATTCCTTTTGGGTCAAGGAATCCGTTTCCGGCTCGGATACGGGCCTGAAGTGGAGTTTGGGCCGAGAGCAAGTTGAGGCGATTGAGCGGGCCTAAGATCCACTTCTCGAGAACGGGCCACGTGTCAGTTGGGGAGATAGGATAAGAAACGAGGGAGAGAGGGAAAATGAAAGAACGCAGCGAAAACAGGGGAAAATGGCGGGAGCTTTGTATGGGAGCTTCGCCGTAACCGCCTGTGCGAATGATAGCCGTGGTAGTGGTAAGGAGGACGAGAAATTGAAAGGGTCGAAGGTTTTGGTTCTGGGCGGGACGGGTCGGGTCGGGGGTTCGACCGCTGTTGCTCTTTCCAAGCTTTCTCCTCATCTTTCCATCGCCGTCGGCGGCCGGAACAGGTCAGCAACCGGCGGGAAAACGAGTTCAATAGTTCATTACCCATTAATAGTACAGTCTATTGCCATAGTGGGTGTCAAGGGTTAGGAGGATTGATTATTAATTTGAAGAAAAAGATTGCTTCTTTAGTGGCGAAGTAGTTCGCAAAACTGTTCCTGATAATTTTTTTTGGAAAATGGGGGACAGGGAAAAGGGTGCTGCGATGGTGGCTACTCTGGGGAGGAATTCTTCTTTTGTTGAGGTGGATTTTGAAAATGCGGAGTCACTGAAAGCAGCTTTGGATGGTGAACGGGCTTGAATTTCTGTTCTTTAATTTCTTTCGGTAATTTCTGGTTAGGGATTGTTTGAATTTTGTTGTTGTTGTTGTTGTTGTTGTTGATGTGGATGCTGCAGGAGTGGATCTTGTAGTTCATGCAGCTGGACCTTTTCAGCAGACTGAAAAATGCCCTGTGCTTGAAGCTGCTATCGAGACCAAGGTGAGCTGAGGTAAATCTATACTTCTTTGTCCTGCGTCTTTTTCAGTAGTATTCCTCACATTATCGATCAGAATTTTGCTTTAACCTAACTAACTCCTTGTTCTTTGATCATGTGTGGTCATGGTAGACAGCATATCTGGATGTTTGTGATGACACGAATTACGCGTTGCGAGCAAAGACATTCAAGGATAAAGCCGTAGCTGCAGGGATTCCTGCAATAACAACTGGTGGAATCTATCCAGGAGTGAGCAATTGTGAGATTGATTCTTTCCCTTTTTATGTCATCCTTCTAAAATAGAAAAAAAATCTGTAGGCTCTTATGCTGTGGATCGTGGTATCATGACAGTGATGGCGGCAGAGCTAGTTCGAGTTGCAACAAGTGAGAGTGAGAGAGAGCCTGAGAGGCTTAGGTAATCTGCTTAGATAATTTGCATCATCAATGAGAATTCAAGCAAATTTGAAGACTTTCTTGTCACTATTTACAGCCAATTCATGCTATCAGTATGTTCTTGTCCAGGTTTTACTATTATACAGCAGGCAGTGGTGGAGCTGGCCCAACGATTTTGGCCACTAGTTTCTTACTTCTTGGTGAAGATGTTATTGCTTATAATAAAGGTAAGTTTAAAGATTCTGTATGAATTTTTTTTAAAAAGTAAGGTAGAGAGTCCTTTTTGTGCTATTGCCACAATGTTTAATCAATCATATCATCTTATACTTAATCAGGAGAAAAGGTCAAGTTAAAGCCATTCAGTGGGATGATCAACATTGATTTCGGGAAGGGGATTGGAAGCCGAGATGTTTACCTGCTGTAAGTAACTTCTGCATGAAAGAAAATTTCTCTCAGAGAGCAGCAAAAGCTTTCAGCTGTAAGTTTGTTGATTGCTATGCCGGATTCTGTAGTTAATGTATCTGATCAGAAAAGAAACATTACTGAAAAGATTGGTTTCATTGTACGTTAGTGAGAAAGAAGCTTTAAGTCTTGCCCAAATTTGGTATAGACATAACAATAGGAAAGAAGTTTGAGCCTTTTACTACTTTGGGCGACTAATCTATTTGCCAATTTGATTATAACTAGTCAAATCTTGTCAGACATCAGTTGCATACTTATGAAGCCTTACACATGCAGGAATTTACCTGAGGTACATAGTGCTCATGAGATCTTGGGAATACCAACAGTAAGTGCTCGATTTGGAACCGCTCCCTTCTTTTGGAACTGGGGAATGGAAATCATGACAAATCTTCTTCCTCAGGTACCTTCTAAAATCAGTTGCCTATTCGATGATATAGTTCCTATGAGGGTCTTTTTTGGTTATCAAGGTTAGATAGAGGCCCATACTAGGTCCAAGCTTTTCATATTTAGAGAATAAACCAATTATTGGTTGGTTTCAACTTTGTTCATATGCGGAAGCAGAGAATTTGGTTCTCTGCATAAGTCAATCTCATCTGCTTGCAAGAGCCATTAAAGCTATTCGATAATATTGGAGATTGGCTGAACTTATATTTTGCAGGAATTCCTGAAGGATAGAAGCAAAGTGGGTGAAATGGTACAGTTGTTTGACCCTCTCGTGCGAACAGTAGATGGTTTTGCCGGAGAGCGTGTTGCAATGAGGGTGAGAATACTGAGAAGACCGACACCATGAAATTAACTAGTGAACTATCAGTAGTGTTGTAACTGAAGTTGAACTGTAATGCCATTTAATCTGTTTATCTAATGTTATTCGGAACAGATTGACCTCAAGTGTACAGACGGGCGAGATACCGTTGGCTTGTTTAGTCACAAGAGCCTCTCACAGTAAGTCCTTTCTCCTAACGCTTTTGATTTGCCAAGTGGTAAATTTTCTATAATACTGCTCATGAAACGATGAAGCTGACATTGTGTAAATCCAGATGCGTTGGTACTGCAACTGCTGCTTTCGCCTTAGCAATCCTCGAGGGAAGCACACAGCCCGGAGTTTGGTTCCCAGAAGAGGTAATTAATTATTAGCTACTAATTAGCCCTATACATTTATCAAACTCGTATGCTATCATTATCGTCAACAATGTGCTGAAGCAACGACTCTAATTAATTTTTATGGTGCAGCCTGAAGGAATTGCAGTGGAGGCAAGGCAGATTCTGCTGGAGAGAGTCTCTCAAGGCACCATTAATTTCGTGATGAACAAGTAAGTACCATCGATTGCGTTGTCGATATGGAAACCAAACCATCCGCGTTTTACGTACTAATTCTCCCTTTAACTATGGGAACTAAATTGATTGGCATGCATGCAAGCAATTAGACATGGCAAAAACAAATATCTGGTTTTAATTGTGTGCCCTGTTTGCTTATCAACTAATTAAATCATGTCCTGTTTCCTCTGTGTTTTTTCCCGATCAAGGCCGCCATGGATGGTGGAAACCAAGCCTAAAGAGCTCGGATTGGGAATCTACGTGTGAACAGAGTGATGAAGAGATGTTCCTGTATATGTCAAGCAAATTTTTGTATTAATTTTAATTAACATTTTTCCATTTGTAATTAAGTAAATTTGGTAAACTAATCAGTGACATTCCTAATCCTTAATGGAAGCGGATAGACACTGGATTCATTCCTCCACCTTTCCGAATAAGGAAAGGAAACAATCTTCAGATACATTTATCTATATAATAATACAGAGTAGTAAAGGGTCACTCACCATTCTTCTGTCTGAAAAAAAAAAAAAAAAATGGAGGCCGAGAACCGCCGCCGCCGCGGTAGAAGGGAAGTGCCGGCGTGGGAGAAGCGGTTCTGCCTGGTGGTGGGGAGGATGCCGTGGAGGGATTTCTTGCGACGCAAGAAATACGTTGCTTGCTGGGGAAGCAAGTGCGTCGACAGGGTCATGGCGTGGGACGATTCGGCAGGGTACGAGTGCTTCCGCGACGCCAAGGCGCGCTTCTGCGCGAAGAATTGCTCCGATTGTGGGACCCGCCGCGAGATTAAGCCGCGGGCCCCGCTTGGGCCGGACGTGTACGTCGACGACGTCGTGTGGAGGGGGCCCAACGACGACGGCGACAGGGAGCTGCGGCGGCTGGTGGCGGAAGCAGAGGAAGCGCAGGAGAGGGAGAGGGAATTAGCGGCGGCGAGGAATGATTGTGTCGTCTACTCGAGGACGATCCCGCTGGAGGAGATAAAGGCGACGGGGTGGGACGACGACTCGTGGCGGAATCCGGGTTTGACCGGGATGCTCGTCGGCGGCGACGATGTTGGTGGTTCAGGGGGGAAGGGGAGATGCAGGGAGAGGAAAACGAATTGGTGTAACGGGAAAAGATCGCCGAACGTTGACGTTTTGAGATATAATGCATATTGACAAAATATTGTAAAATCGTATTGGAAAAGTCAGCGACATAATATTTTGTACTGAGTTGTAGTTTAATGATGGTTAACTATTTATATAGTGCGCAAAATTGCTTATAGAAATGACGACCGTTAAATTATGATTTCACGAACACACTAGTTTTGACAAGAAACAATTTTCTTTTGCTAAATGAGAAACCTAACTAGAATATTGGTTTCGTAGTAATTCATCCACGACTGTATTAATATTATTTTGTTTTGGAAGAAGTTTTTCAGTGCTTTGTATTTTTTTCTTCCTCTGGTACCGACTACAACCCTTTTAACTTTAGAGTTCTCACCAAAACTCTCACCAACACTTTTTAACAATTTCCTTTAATCCTACAAACCTCTCAGATATCTTCATATAAAATGTAGCAAGTTATAAGTATCTAGTTGATGAAGGTCAAAATATAAGATATCACATTTAGAGAGCTCATTAGGATAAAATGTAGCAAGTTATAAAAACTGTTTCTTGTCAAAGTTAACAAATGAATCTTCGGGATTTAAATATGCCACGCTAGCTACATAGCAATTTCGTATTAACATAATTGAAGATACTATGAAGCACTTGTAACTACATATCCAAATCTATTTATACATAAATCATGTAGTGGCAAGTAACTTAGTGGTGGAAATGATGGATTTTATAGGGAGGTTCCATATTTGAATCTCGCTTCTCAAGTAAACACGAATAGTATTTTTTCCCCTCCATATGTGTGTCAAATTTCAAGTAGTGCCCGGGATCTACCTGAATGGTATGTGGCCCCGCCACTGAATACAAGTGGCTTTTTTCGGCGCACTCATGAGAATAAGTCTATTCAATGCACTCAAATCTATAATTGACATTAAGATATCAATTTTTTTTGAATTTTAGTTGATAGCATTGACTACGATATGATGATCTGACATAGGATCACAACCAATCAATCTATTACCCCTAACCAATCAAACTATAAAGACCAAATTACGTCGGTATTATCTCTTCGTCAATCCATCTACCGCCATGGTGAGCGACGACTGCGATGCCGATTGGGACCTCCCCCTAAGCGCACTCCTCCTCCGTTCCGCTGTCCGAAAACGGCGCCGTCCCACCCGTCCAATTCGGGTTTTAAGAGTAGGGTTTATATTTGTAGGTTATTTTTATGGAAGTTTTTATTCGTGGCGGAGGGAGAACTAATGGCAATTGGCAACAAGCAATCTTGTCCTTTGCTTCAAGAACTTGAAGATCAAGTGCGGCGGCCCAAAATGTCCTTTAAAAAAAACAACGAGAGCTCCAACCAACTTCATATATATGTAAACAAAAAGCCCACTTTTTTTAATTAAACGGGTTGCTAATAAGTTGGTCCATGGAAAGGCCCATATTCTTTGTCACTGAAAGAGCCAAGAAGTTTGGGTATATCAGTAATCTTGATTGTGCAATTGTAGATATTTTTTTTTATTACATTGTGCAATTGTAGATTAATTGTATTCGAACAACAATTCTTTAATAAGGATATCCAAATTCATGTAAAAAACCATGGTTAATTTTAGAATTTAAACCCAATTTAGTTAGGTTATGAAAACAAAATCTCTACAAAAATTCTCATCCCAAATATGTCAAACCTCAATATGGAAAACGAGATAAAATCCAATCCCGGATTAAATGAATCCGCTAAATACTCTCCTCTATATACTCTTGTGACATCTCTACTTCCTCTTCACAAACACCCTTCTCTCAAATATCCCATCTCCATTACATACCAAAATCACATAGCAAAATGGTTAGTCTATCAAGAACTCGCCATGGGATGGCTTTGGCAGTAGTGGTAACTATGTTGGCTATTTTCGGCCATGGCGGGAGCAAATTTGTGGCAATGGCTGATCTTGATGATGAGCCTTGCAAAAGTGATCTGCCTGGTTTGAAGGCAGCCTGCTTTGATTTCATCAAGTTTGGAGGCCCTGCAATCCCGCCTTCAGAAGAATGTTGTAAGCTCATTAATTCCGCGGACTCGAATTGTACGTGCAACTTCGTGACCCCTGAGGCTGAAAAGATGGTCGATATGAAGAAGGTGGTTTATGTGGGCAGAAGTTGTGGGCTTCAAATCCCTGTTGGATTTAAATGTGGAAGTAAGTACTCTCTAATATGATTGGAATCACGATCTGTGTGTTTGTGAAATTTGTTAATAACTATATATATGGTTGTTGTGGTTGCAGGTTATATAGCCCCGCCTCCTTTGACGGTGGCAAGAGATCGGTTGAATATCAAGAGGGGCCGCAAAGTCGCAATGACTTCTCAATAGTATGAGAATAGATCGTGTGGCAAAATATTGTTGTCCTTTTGAGGTGATGCATTCGACATCATGTGTACCCCGACTTCTTGTTTTCCTTCCTATTTTTCATTTTGGCAATTGCAATTATGGGGTACTACAGAGTTTACCAGCAAACCAGAAATAAAAATAATAATAAAGAAACGCATTCACCTAATTTTGGGATCCTTTATAGAAGCATAGTTACGACAGAAATGTCAAGTCCTAAAATTCCTGACAACGCTCTTTATAACACCCGACATTCCGACTTAAGCCGAAAAAAATAAAATAAAAAGCGAAACACACATAGTATTTAACCAGACGAATCTTCAATATATTTTTTCCCCGCTGTCCATCTTTGTTTTGGTAAAATATTTTCAACGATCGACTAGATTCAACTCACTCATAAACCAATTAAGGGCCAAACTAAAGATCATCATCCATCAAGTACTACATCTCAAATCCAAAAATTTCAAGTCACCACTCACTCACCCACCTTCCATTCTCTTCTCATCTTCACAACTTCATCACTTCCATCAATATACCAATTTCACCCGATTCTCCAATTGTAATCCCAAAACCCAATCCCATCTTCATGACCACATACCCTAAACAACCACGCATCCAGTTTCACCAGAAATCCCACGAAATCCAAAACCCCTTCTCCCCACTATAAAACAAACAAACCAACCCACCCAAATTTACAAAACACACAATCCAATTCCCCCACAGGGAAAAAAAAAATGGCCAAAACCGGCGTCGTTCTGGGGGCGGCTCTGCTTCTGCTGGCAATTACGACGCTAGGCGCCGACGCCAGAACGTGCGGCGTCGACGTCCAAGGCGTGGTGGACGAATGCATGGACTACTTGAAGAAAGGGTCGAGGCAGCGGGACCCGTCGCCGCAGTGCTGCACCGCCATCGGCGGCGCCGACATCAACTGCGCGTGCAAGAAGCTGCTGACCCCCGCCGTCCAGTCGCTGCTGGACATGAACAACCTCGTCTACGTCGGCAGGAAGTGCGGGATCTCCATCCCCAAGGGGACCAAGTGCGGCGGTACGTAACCAAACCAAACCAAACTCGTGAGAATTGCGGTCCGATCTGCTCCGATTCAAATGTCAATTTGATTTATTTTCCCTTCCGTATCTAATAAAATTCATGGAATCAAATACCGAAACATATTATATTTGGTCCGGTATTTGATCATATTGTTGCACGCCATTGGCTAGGTACGATCTAGTCCAGCGTAGACAGTCCAATAGAGGAAAGACATGCATGTTAGGACCAAGTACCCGATCAAATAGGCATCTGATGATCTCGTACAGATGTCAATTCAATCCATTTTTTCTTCCGTATTTATAAATAACTCATGGGCCAAGAAGCATACGGACTATTTATATTTCGATTTGGTACGATATGATTCAAACGCTATGTTTCGTCCCAATTCGGTCCGGTCTGGATTAAACTGTTGACATAGACAATTTTATTGAAACAGCTTAATGAGATTCCTTTTTTTGTTTGTTGGTTTGTGATCAGATTTCGTCGTCAATAATTGAAGGGCTTCGTCGTTAGAAGTTGGTGGACGGGGTGAAGGGATCTGTAATAAAAAAAAATATCTATATCTATATGTATCATGGATTATTGTTATTGTTATGTAATATAAGTCCGTGCGTATGTACGTAAATAATTACATGCACGTTGATGATTACATGCATTTGCATGGAGTAAATTATAGTGTTGTGTTGTGTGACGCACAAGGTGGATCGAGGTAAATAGTTATTTAATCATAAATAAAATTTGACAAGGTTATATTGCCTTAATACGTTAAATTGAAAATTCTATACATGTTAATGGAAAGTTAGTCCATCAAATTAAAAAAAAAAAAGTAAAAGGAGTTTGTTCTATCCTTAATTGATAAAAAAAAAATGTCACATACATATCACAATATAAAAAAAAATAGTTAATTTGTGTCTTTCCATCCATATTTACATCCAAAGTGCCCATTTAGCTTGCTCCGGATAAGAGATAGATTCAAGGGTTTGGTTAGACTAACTCCAACCCTAGAGCTAAAAAACCATTTACCCATCTTTAGCTCTTTTTTTGTGCTCCAACCCACATTATTTTGGGGAGCTAAAAATGGGTATTGGTGAATTGGGAGCCAAATTTAGCTTCCAAATAGGTGGAAAAGCCAAATTTGGCTAGAGGAAATGGTGGACCCGCGGTGGTTCCTCTTTCATTTTTTGTTTTTTGTTTTTTCTGTGGGATTTTCTCATTGGTTGATTGTGTTATTTTTTTTTTTTTGCTTTTTTTGTGTGGTATTTTGTCATTGGTTGATTGTGTATGTTGTTTTTGTAATTGTTTGAAAGAAGATATGAAATGTTATATGTTTAATTGATATTTTTTCCTTGGTCCTGAAGTTAACGGTAACAAAATAATGACTAATTTTCCGAAACTTTTTTTGTCTCGGAATTAAAAAAAAATTACATCAAAAATTTTGTTTTCAAAACTAATAACTAACTATAGAAATATAAAGTGAAATATGAAAATTAGAGGTCAAATAAGTATGCTTTATTGTAATAAATTGAAAAAAGTGAGGTAGGAAGTTAAATTTAGCATTGTGTAGGGTTGGAGTGAAAATGGGGTTTGGGGAGCTAAAAAGCCATATTTGGCTATTTGGGGAGCCAAATTTAACTTTATGGGTTGAAGTTAGTCTTAGGTGTGTGATATTTTTTATTAGCAGTGAGTATATCAACAATCTAACTTAACTGGGTTACGAAATGACAATTTTTTCCCTCATATCTAGTCTTTAATCTTTATTTAACGGGTTCAAATCCGAGAGTCGTTCTAGGTTATTCAAGTCCAGTTATAATTACCACCGGAGCAATCTCTTGTTCGCACGAACTGACTATTTCGAGATACCGCGCGCTGGCACTTGTTTATTTACCCGATGAGGATTGTTTTTCCTTTGCGAAGTTAATCTAGTTTTTAGCTTGACCTAAAACTAATGTTTAAGATTGTTAGGAGTATGAAATAGTTTGGTTGAATGTGTTGCTTAGAATCCTAATCCGACCAGGAGAAGGAAAACAGCCGCCGCCGCCGGCGAATCAGTAATGAATTCGGACTCGAGGGTTTCACAAACAAATTTTTTTATATATATATAGGGATATGTCGCGTTCTCTTCCGTTTTCATCATACCAAATCCTTGGCCGGCGGCAGCTATCTCCGATCCGTCTGTCGTTCCTCCATGGCGACCCAGAACTGCAACTCTGTTCTCCCCTGCTCATCGGAGAAACTGGGCGACGATGATCTCCTCGCAGAAGTTCTGATTCGGGTCCCGGACCCTAAATCCGCCTACCGCTGCAAACCGGTCTGCAAGCGGTGGAACTCCCTCATCTCCGATCCCTCCTTCAATCGCCGTTTCGTTTCCCACAGCCAGAGCAGGCACGAACGAAACGATCCTCCGCCTCCTCTGCTTCTTCCCTCCGACGACCCGGAATCCATCGTCTCGAGCTTTCTCCCCATGCCGGAGGAAGCCACTCCTCCACGCTCTTTCCGGGTTTTCGATTCCTTCAAGGACTTGATTCTGTGCGGGTTTTTGGACAGGGAGAATAATGTTGACGATCTCAGCTTCGTCGGGTCTTTATTCGTCTGCAACCCGTTTACGAAGCAATGGATCGCCCTTCCTCTTGGCGTCCGAAACGCTGTCGTATGATTTCGTGGCGAGGTTAGTTTGTGAACCCCGTTCCAATTGCGAGCTTGAGTACCAATTCAAGGTGGTTTGCTTGTACCAACATGAGAATGTGGCTCCTACGAAACTGCACATATTTTGTTCCGAGTCTGGAGAGTGGAGCAACAAGGTTCTCGTCCTCGAAGTTCCTGATATCCGTCTCGGCAGTGTGGTTTCGAGCAATGGCAGGCTCTTCTTCTACAGATTCCTCGATTGTTCAATCTGCGAGGTCGATGTTTTCCAACGCGGTTTAAATCGAATTCGTGTCGAAGCTCCCGAACCAGCTAACAGAGGATTCGATATCTCGGTCTCGCAAGGTACGTTGCACGTGATTCGACGCGAATATGTTAGTACGAGTGCACACGTCTTGTTGACGGTTTGGAGACGGGATGAAGAGAAAGAGAACCACCACCACCGGTCGTCATCTTGGAGTAAGAAGTGTGAAGTGTTGTTGAAAGATGCATCAAAGTGTGACTATGTTCGTCGATCTGGTATCGCCTGTCTGCATCCAGAGGATCCAGAGATTATCTTCCTGCAACATTATGAAGATGCGAATGTTTTGTACGTCGATTTGAGGACGGAGGAGGTAGGGTTCTTTGCTAAATATTCATCCTTCTGGAAGCTGTTCCTGCCTAGGGTTTCTTGTTGGCCTACCTCAATTCCGAGATACGAGAAACTTCGAGGTTTATATGATGGGAGCTACGACTGCTGGGTTCAGCAGAGCAGCTGCCAAGCAACTCCTCCCTCCCTCCCTCAATAGTTGGCATAACTGTTTATGCTCTCATAATGCATACTTACTTTTCATCTGCCATTGCATCTCTGTAAGGATTTCTGAGTTTGCTTGCAGATCAAGAAATCTGAGTCGCCTGACAGGATAAATGGAGCAGAGCCAGTCTTGCAAACACTACTGCACCCTCCTAGCTTGTATTCTGAATTATTATGAACTGTATTCTTTCATATTGGTTTCTATTGTCTGGCTCCTGATATCTTCGTTTATCGCATTAGAGGAAGGACGGCATATCAGCATCACAACACTTGTCATTGTGCTTCAGAAGCAGAGGGTTTTACTAAATTTGTAAACTGCTGTCAAATCAACAACCCAACTTTGACTTTAAAATCTCGTCATTGATCGAAATTCGAAACAACCCAACATGTATATTGAACAAAATATGGATGTAGTTATACATCTTGCAGAAACACAGATAGGAAAAAAACAAAACTTGATTCTACAAGTTAAGCAAATGTAAGGATCCAGAAGAAAAGGATATCATGAACAAGAAATATACAGTGTGATTGAGTCTCTTTCTATCTGCTGAAGCTATACAGGTTTTCTGTACCCTTTTTTTCTGAGTGCATAATTTCTTGTTACACTATGTTCTTGCTTTCCATTTCATCATTTAGTATTAGTTCCCAACAGGTGAAAACCTATTTAACTTAAGAGGGTAGAAAACACCACACAACCAAAATGGAAAACCCAAACAGGTCAAAACTCATTCATATCTCTACCCAACTATCAACATGTGTGGATCCGGCATACCCTATTCCGTCCTTGAATACGAACCTGGATATTCAGGTGAGGTAATTCACGATGAGCCTTCTCCAAACCACTTATTGCAAGGCCCAGGCTCATTCCGTATGACTCAATCCAGAGTCTTCTTCGTGGGAATCAAACAGTTATGATCGAGTGAGAGTGGCACTTTGGGGGGCTGTCGGAGTTTATCGACCATATGCTCGCCAAGCCTCTCTCCAGTGTCTCCTTGAACCACCCCCTCTATCGAATTGAGAGTTGTGGTGGGTCTCTTGATATGCTCTACCATAGGTGCTGTTTCCGCCACGTTTTTTCTGTGCATTCCTCATCTCTTCCTCTAGATCATATTGTGACCGCTGCAGGAAGAGAATAAAAGGAATATTAGATTATCAATTACAATGCCTACGGACAAAAATAATCAACATGATAGAACAAAAGTATCTGGCTAAGATACCTTGGCAGGGTCCGAGAGGACTGCATATGCCTCCCCAATCATTTTGAAAAGTCTGTCGGCATCTTTATGGACTTCTTCTCCTATCTCCTTCCAGAGTCCATCATCACCATTTTCACCCCTCGCCAAGGATTGACCGGCCTATGATGTAAGCAAATAGGTTTGTTTTTCAGGAGGTGAATGACGAAAGAAAAGCACTTCATATAGCTGCACAGAACAAAAGGAGGATAAAGAAACCTTGTCGGGATGGTGTCTAAGAGCAGCTTTCCGGTATGCTTTTTTGATTTCTGCAGCTGATGCAGAAGGCTCAACGCCCCTGCAAGCCATTGATACAAGACACTATTTAGAGTAAAGCTCAGAGATGTTTTCAGTAGAACAATAAACAATGCTCATACAATTACATAAATGAAACAGGTATTCATTAGGAATCGGAAAAACTTACAAGATGAGATAGGCATTCAATGGAATATCCTTTCTATCTTCTTCTTCTAAATTGGAGAGACGAAGACGAGCTTGTCTTAGATCATTTAGCAAGTGTGTAGACCCATCAGCTTGACCGAGCTGATTAGTTTTGTCATCCACCTGTCTCGTGAGTGCAGATAACAGTCTTTCTAGGTCTTTAGCTGCCTGCCCATAATCTCTTATCATCTCATATAGTGTGGCCCGTCTAGAAATTGCCTGCCAAAATGAAACACCAGACATTGATATTGGTTATCCGCAAAAGAAAAGCATACTCTCCAGCTAGTGTTAACAAGAAAATGCAAAATATCTAGCCTAGAGGAACCAATGCTGCATTTGCCATGCTTCTAGAGTTGACAAAAAGTGAAACAAGACAGGAAGCAACCAGCTTCAACAGCATGCTACATATCACAATATTAGGACTACGCTTGCCTGTAGAATATGTTTGTTTCAACATGCTCCAATGACATCCAAGCTGAGTATTTAATCAGAACCCAGCAAAGTTTTCATAAATTCTGTCAGTATCAGCCAAGATATTTTTAGGGTAGCAAGTCATTTCTATCCACCTTTGCCTAATAGACCAGCCACTTAATAGGAATTCATCAATAAATTTCAGTCCAAAAATACCTTATAATAGTATTAAGCAGTCTCCCGGAAAGCATTCTACGGTTTCAAAACCTGGGTTTTCTGATCATAATGGCAAATTTTGCTGATGATTATAGCGTTTATCAAATCCACGTGTTTTAGATAAACATCAAAGCAATACTGTGGACACAGAAACAAAACTTGAACCTAACCATCCAACTATAATTTCAGTACAAAGAAAAACAGATATATAATTAGAGGAAAACCTTCAGGTAATTTCCATCAAGTGCTATTGCAAAGCTGCAGTCAGCAATCGCATCAGTAAGCTGCCCCAACTCCTTGTACGCAGCAGCTCTGTTACAGAAACAAATAGCTGCGAAAGGTCGGGACTCTACATTGCATGACAGAACAGCAGTATAGTGTTCAATAGCTTCAGAATGCTTTCCTGCTTGAAATGCTTCATTTCCTGCAACCTGTAATTGGGAAAATCACATGCCATCAAATTTACTGAATAAGCCTTTAATACCATCATGACAATCACCCGGTGAATAACAATATTGGACAAACTAAGCAAGTACGTTGGCCAGTATAACCTTAATGTCTGAAATTTCTCCGGTGAATATAAATGGTGCAGCAATCACATAAAAAATCAAACTTCATTCTGGCTCCACAGAGTCTATCAATAGCATTTCATAATGTCCATAGTAGCCACTTCATGCAAGTTGTTCAATCACACAAGGAGCTTCAAACATAAAGCATCAATTTGGAAATCTAAGTATCATCACCTTATGGTGTAAGAGTTCCCGCGCCGTGGAAGCTAATGGTATTAATGATTCCAGATAACTGCTACCAAAATTTGACAGACTGCTGAAGAAAAACTACCTTGAGGATCATTGAGAAAAGAAGAAACAATTTTTTATCAAGCCGATCTACAAAAATTTGAAAATAATGATTTACCAGTCAGAAGCAGAATTCGGATCCCCTTGTTTCTCCAATGAACTAATGGCTTCCTCCAGCCTCCCAAGATAGAAGTACGACATAAAAGTCAAGCGGCTGCGCCAGAGCATGAAGGAGGGTTCCCTCTTGAGTGCAGAAGGGTCAGCATGAGCTGGTTCACAGTCAGCAGGGGGAGCATTCTTTTTGGCAGAATCAAGAGTCTGCTCACATAACATAATTACCTCTTCATACTTGTGAAGCTGCAATATGAAACAAAAGTTCATTCAGAACTTCACAAACTTTTAGCCACAAAAAATTTTAGAAGTACAATTCATAGTTTTCAATTTGTCAGAGTTAAAAGGAGACAAACCGTGAAGAGAGCCAGTGCTTTAGTTTCAACTAAGTTATCACCAAATGGACTAATGACCAAAGCCTCGGATATAACCTCTACAGCGCTTCCTGCATCATTCGGTGTTCTCCTTTCCAAGAGCTCGGAAGACCGTTGCATGCACTCCATCACTTTCTATCACCAGAAAGAACACATAGATCCTTCAAAATCCGTAAAACATCAAATATATTTACTGACAATTCTGGAATTGATATAATGAAGTAGTTCGCTAGGCTGAACATCTTTGGTATCATTATATCCAGTTCCAACGTGCAATAAAGAGTCGTATCTAAGTTTTAAAAGATGGAAATGGTGAAACGTTGTTATTCATAGAAAATAAGAGAATTGAAGAAAAAGAGGGAAAGGAAATAAAGCTACCTGTGCCTTCTGTAGTCCCTCAGATGCTTCTACTTCTATCTTCCTGTCCACACATACATCGCTTCCTAATTGCAAGCACTTTTTGAAAAAATTTGATGCATTTTCAACTTCACCCAAAGCAAGGTAACAACTACAGATCGAGATGTCCAAAAACAAACAATAAAACCACATAAAAATAGTGTTAGCAAAAGAAAGAAGACCCAGAATGCTTCTTAATGTGTTCCATTAGTTCGCTAGTATCAAATATGAACTAAGCCAGACGAGTAAGTTCTTAGCATGTGAATGCAATTAGTAGCCTTAACGAAACGTAAAATCATTGTTAACAAAAACACATATAGTCCCCTGAAACTTTATGAGCTTACCAATATCAACTATAGTCAAATGCAAGATATATTAGCCAACGTAACCAGATGATAATGAAAATCAAATAACCATAAATAGATTGTCAACTGCTTTTTCCTTTTGTCCATCCTCAAAGTACACATAGCCATCGACCGCAAATCAAAGTCAAACTCTTACCATCCATCCAAACGACCCCTTAGGTGTGTTCAAGAATTAAACCAAATAGCAGACCAAATTGACACCAATAGCTATATAATTATTATCATAAATAAGAAAACATAAATTTCAGCATCACTAGATTCTTCTGCAGTAAATGTGTAGTATGTAGCAGCAAGCAACTAAATTACCATTCAACATGTGAAAGACAGGAAAGCTACCTTGCAGCTCTAAGTTGTACTCTCAGGAAATTAGGATCAATTCCGGCAGCTGTCTTGCAGTCTTCAAGTGCATCTCTCACTTTCCCCAAAGACATCCGCGTTGCTGCACGATTACTGTAGCAGAGCATCAAAGCTCTAAGGCAGCTCCTGGATTTTTCAGTTCTGGGAATACAACTCAACCCTTGTGTGTAACTATCTTCTGCTCTCAACAGATCCCCATTTTTATATGCTTGATTCCCTCTATGGTAAAAAGCATCGGAATACATGATCCAACCAAGCCAAAATGATAACCATTAACAAATAAATGCGGGTAAAAATTAAGCAGGCAAGAAATGAATACATTATTAAATTAAGGATTACCTCAGCCGCCACTTTTCACAAGCTTCTTGGGCTGCAACAGATGCAGCAGAGCTAATATCAGAAACTTGCTTGACTTCCTTCCCTCTAAGTATCTCTGAATTATCACCAGCCACGGGCAAAGGGCTAGGTAAATTAGCTCTATTGTCACTGGCAGGGGACAAAAGGAAAGAGCTGGGCAGACCACTTCTATCGTCTATGGCTGGGGACAAAAGCAATGGGCTGGATAGACCACTTCTACAGTCATTGGCCGGGGACAAAAGCGGCGAAGCTCCAGAGAAAGAATTCAACTTAAAAGAGGAGGAAGCAAACGGGATCTTTGTATTCAAAGAAAGATGGGAATTCTTCTTTTTAGGGTGAGGTTTAACAGATGACTGCGCAGTTGAAGAGGCAGCAAATCTGAAACCCGAAGCACATGAATCTTCTGAACAAGCAGCAGAAAAGAATTGAGTGGTCATTTCAGAATCTTGACCCTCACTGCACTTGCTTGAACAAGCTTCCTTTTCTCTTGAATTAACCACACCATCGTTAATGAGATCTATTTCTTCATTTGCAGACTTAAAGCTTTCAGTTTCGGCTCCAGAAACAGAATCTTCTGGAGGAGCAGCATCAGCATCAAGACTATTACCATAACGGTGATCAGATGCTTCCTCCGTTAAAGCTGTATTTATGTCCATGTGTTCTGCTGCAACAACCAGATCTTCCATTGAGTCATTCAGCAAAGTTTCTCGCTGCTCTGACTCACTTGATGCAACTTGTTGATTGGTGCTGAAAGACTCCTCTGATGCCACTGACGAGTCCCTGGAACACCGTGGTTCTGATAACATATATGGAGAGATATCCATCGGTGAATACGAGTCACTAGCCTCAGATGCTTCCTTCGAGCTGTATTCTAATCCAGTACAAAGATGCACTTTTGTAGAATGCTTCCCCTTGCTTTTTCTTTTCTTAAGTTTCGAATCCTTTAGCTTAGCACCAAATTCAACCTTACTATTAACGCCAGTGAAGCTGCTCACTCTTGGATCAGGGGTTCTGAATCCCGTAAAGGGTACCGCCCCTTCTATCTCATTTGCACTCTTAGGCAAGGGAACACCACCAAATGAAAATGCAGTAGATGGTCCTGCACCTTCAGCCTGTTGCCTATCAACTTTTGATTGACCTAAAGGAGCGTGACTGCGACTTGGATCATGACTCTGCAACCCTTCCCTAAATGTAAACCCCAAGGCATCCACACCTCTCACATCATGTGATTTCTCATCATTCTTATTTCCAGTTTGCATACCCTGTCCAAAGATTCGAGTAGGAAAAGTTGGGTCCTTTGGACCAGCTGATCCCCCCATTGCACTTGCAATTTTCAACTTAAAATTCATGTCATCTAACAATTTGTTGTCTCTCTCTCCCTCTGCAAAAAGAACAGATCTTTCTTTCCTCTCACTATCATTGCCATCCTTAACTTTATGACTAAGATTAGCCTCATGAACAACTGCAGCTTCCTTCATGTTCAAGTTTTTCATCCGATCATAAAGCTCGTTCCCTAACCCTTCAGATGACACATTTCTTCTACTCCTTTCATCAGGTTTAGATGTAAACCCCTTCGTAGACTCCACACTGAAAGCAAAATTACCAGAGCTACTGTTCTTCCCAATATTCAACTTCTTCATTAACTCATCCGGCAGCAAGGATTCCGGGCCTTTCCCACTACCAAATGAACCATCATTCCCACTTGACCTAAACATTCCATTACTGGCAGCATTCTGATGGCCTTTTATCTCCAACTTCCTTAAGCTCTCTTCCAGAACAGAACTTGCATTCCGATCACTCCCAGACACAAAACCACTAGCATTGCCCACATTCGAACTCCTATTCAGAAACTCATTCTGACTACCAAGACTCAAGCTTTTCATCTCATCAAGAATCCCCTTGTCCAGGTTCAACCTCCCAACCGAATTACTCCTACAAGCTCCAAACACAAACCCCTCATTGCCGGCGTTCCCACCTCCAGACTCGCCAGAGCCGGGCACACCAAGGAACGGATTCGCACCGGGACCGGAAGATGATTTCGGGTTCTGACTACTCAATTGCCTTCTTACCTTCAACAATCTAGGTCTGGTAACTCCCTTACCCGGGGCCGCACGCCCAACCGAGGACGAGTGTAAGCCCATGTTGTTATTGACGTTGTTCTCGCCCGAACCATGGAGCCCGGAATTCAAACTGCCGAAACCGGAAGGATTCATCCCCGCCGTTCCTCAACGACAACGACCCCTCTTCCTCCTCCTGAATGATTAAATTCTCAAGAATTAGAATGGGGACGAGGAAGGGGAAGGCAAGGAACCTGACCGGCGAAATTACTAGGGTTCTGATTGAGGGGGAGTAGCAGCGCCGGCGGCGTCTAGTAACGCCGGTGACATGTCAATGCGCGAGTCATGAAATGATGCGGCGGAGGAAGGAGAAGGGTCCATCCATCACCATGAGAACGACGGGTAACCGCAGAACAGCTCAATAATGGCGGAAAGCAAAAGCAGGGGATCTGTGACAAAGAGAAATGGAGGGTTCCTTGAATTTGAAGCCACCGAGATGGATTGATTTTGATTTTCTGAGAGAGAAGGAAGGAAGAAAGGGAGTCGCTTTGATCACGGGGGAATTAGACAGACAGAAGACGCCTTTCTTCCTGTTTTCCTTTCTTCTCTCACAAAAACCAAAATAAATTTTTTTCCCAAAAAAAAATCAAGGAGGAGGTTTTGAATTTTGATCCTCGTAGAACATCGTCATTTGTAAATACTTTGTTTATGGGCCTCCGGTGTAAAAGGCATGGGCTGGGAAAATGATACTTGGCCCCATATATCGAGACCAAGCAGTCCATTTTTCATTGGGCTGGGCCTGCTTGCTGCTACAACATCCATTCTTACTGCAATAAACCTAACTTATTTCAGCCTTCTGGATTAACAAGTAAATTGGGCCTTCAGAATGGTCAACGCGAATGATCCGGGCTCACGCTATGAGGGTGTCATTCTGAAAGAGGTTCAAGTGTTGCAAACATCTTTCCAACGTGCTTCGTTTCACTTCGCGCCTCGTAGGTAAAATAGGGCTGCCCATATCGTGGCAAACTAAGCCCTCTATCGTTGGTTCAGCGACTTGTTGACCAGCGTGTGTGTTCTGTTTATTCGTATCTTGCTATTCCTACTCGGAATATCTTTGGAAAAAAAAAAAGTTTGATTAGGTTCTGTGGGCAACTTCGTGCATACAGATTACATTCTTGATTCTTCCCTATTATAGGACTTGCTGTGCAGTTGCAATAGGGATTCTCGTGATTCAACTAAAGAGCTCACTCGAGTAGGGTCACTTGCCAAATCATGTACAGCTAGCTTCACACACAGTACTATAGATAATAGATCAAAATCCATTGAAGATCTCACTCGAGTAGGGTCACTTGCCAAATCAAACCCCCTATTCCAGAAATCAAACAAAACCACTAAACAAGAACAGAGCTTGAGGGAAAACAGGGGAGCAATGGAAACTGGAAAGGATGGCGCAATAGTTGTTGTTATGTACAGAGTAGTACTATTTTCTACTTGTCATGTAAAGGTCACAAGTGGGCAACCCCCACCCCACCCACATTCTGACTCTGCTGCAACAAAAGTAAACAGATCAACCCACACAGAGGAGTCAATGCATTTCCATGGTGTCATCTCTGTAATGCAAATGCAAAGAGCTGGATGACCCACTTCCAGTCAACTAATGGTTGGAGAGAGTGGTCCACTTAATGTGAATAATGCTTGCACATATTTGCAACAGACAAGATCCCCAGAATGATTCCCCAAATCTTGGTCCAGAGGAACAGCTTTAGCTAACTACAGAAGCTTTGCTTCCAATCATTGAGCAGCAATCAAGGGGGTTCCATTAACACAAATTACACGCAGGAAAAAGAGCACCAGTCTAACCCAGAAGCAAGTTTGTCAAAACAGAGTAAGAACTAAGAACCAAGAAGGTGAGTGAAGACAAGGAGATAAGGACAAGGTAAAAATGAAGATACATGCAAGAGTGGCATGGTATAGATATTTTTTAACTGCAGGGTAACAATATACTAACATATTGAGGATATAGTAAAAACCAAAAACTTTTTTTTACTGTAGAGCTGAGAGGGAAATGAGTGTGCCATTGGTACTACCATTGGACTATACATTTTGTCAGCACCCATGTGCCTGAAGAGCATGCCTTCCCCACATGTGGACCTATAAACAACCATTGAAAATAGAGACAAAAAAGTACCCTCCAAGAGGCTGAGGCATATACCTATAGATCATTTAAAAACAAGGGAACCTATTTCAGATTCACCTCCCTCCCATCCAACTTTTCACAACTTCACCTGTTTGCATGATTACAAAAGTGAATGTTAAAGAACCCTAATTCCAACAACTAGACGATTAAAAGTGATGATTAAAAAGATTGGGAGTAAAGTAAGAGTCATAAAGTCATGATCTTTGCTTGCACCCATCATCTTCTGAAGATCACACATGGGATTCAGGACTAGTACCTGTAGAACTTCATGAACAATCAGTAGACAGATACAACTTCTTTCACTCCTGAACCAAGTGAAGTGATTCACTAACAAAATGATGGCCAAAGACCACAAGGATTTGTCATTGACTTATAACAAGATACATCCTCTTCTCATTTTTAGTATATGACTGTCTAGCACACAACTACCAAATGGGAAGCCAGCATCCAAAACAACAAAATAGCAAAGAGAAACCCTACTAAAATTACTTCATCTGTTCGTTAAGTATGTAATATGCCTTTCCTGTTAGTACTGTCGTATTTTGAGGATGTTGATTACGACCGGCAGGATTTCCAAGATAGTCTACATATCTACCGTCCAACTGCAAGTATGATTTTGGGCTCTATACACCTACATAGACCTGTGCTCCTTATATATCGTCTCTATTTTTTCTGCATAAGAAACCGTGAACACAAGATGTCAACACAGGAGCACTTCTAAAGCTACAGAAACTTGCAAGAGAACACTAATTACTTACAACAGCGAAGTCAATCTCTGTTGCCATGTTAACATTATTACTACACATCTTAGCTGCACATCCAAAACAAAGAAACAGATTAGCATCATGAACAAAAAGAACCAAGCGAAAACAAACGGGCCAAGTGAGGTAACAGCACCACCTTTTTGCCTTCCCAACTAATGGAGCTAAAGGGAAGTAGTATCGCTTGGAGACGAGTTTGACAAGGCTGAAACATTCTCCAAAGATGATTTTGATTGAGAAGCAACGGCATCACGGTTAACATGTTCAGCATTGCTCCCATGACTACATGGAACTCAGTGATATGAGTAAATTAATAGAAGAATCAGTTGAAACCATACACAGCCACAACACTAATTAAATTCCAGTAAGTGCTAAACTTATTGTACATTGCTCGTGAAACTATGTCTATTTTAGCAATGATGTTTAGCAATTGAATTCAGATACTCAAGATCAAGAACACAACTTAAAGTTACCAAATGTTACATACAAGAAAGAAAATAAGTGATCAAATGAAACAAACTCAAGTAGCTACAGGTATCACAAAACTACAGCATTCTTACTCTCACCAAGTCTCCATAGAGAAAGGAATGCATATAATAGGTTGACAAAAGACGAAGATGAAAGAAAAGAATAACTGCGTATTGAAAAAATCATGATCATATTTAACAAGTTGCCAAAGGGACACTCTCAAACACACCACAAGAGCAAGTGAACATACCAGTTAGTCAGGTTGCTGGCATCGTTATTTATATTTTCTTCATTACCAACCATATTGCATGTGTGGTTCACTTCAGGCTGAAAGTTTTGATTGGCAGCATCATCAGCAGCAGACAAAGCAGAGCTCTCAACAGTTTCTGGTGTGCAACAGTACAAAAACAAAGCTTAAGTTGAATATCAAGTTGATAACAGCGAGTCCTCCATATTTCAAATGTATAGAGGGGGAAACAACTGTAAGTCTGTACGCATAACTGCTCATATTAAACTGACCTTCTTCCTCGCTCTTGGCTATCTTTTGACTGAGAGGGGAATGGGTAGATAATGAGATGCCACCCATGGACAGGCTACGTTGATGATGATTGACATAATCACCTCGCAGGTCTGGGAGCTGCAGATTTACGAGCCTGCGTCCTTGAAGTTCAATAGCTTGCTGCAGCTCAGCTTGCTCTTCTAACTTCCTTCTCAGCATCATTTCCTGTGAATTGTAAGGCACTCGCCCACCTGAAAACAGAGAGATTAAGTCATCTACAAGGCTAGTCATTTCAAGTAGTATAAAATAAAAGTAAAAAATCCAGTTATCTCGAGGGATCATATACTTCTCTGCTTTCAAGTTCCTTACATACCCATCGGAAGATCATAAAGCTCCCTGCCATCGAGACCAGAAGGACTTGAACATGGTGAAAAATTTCCCCTCTCCAGTAATTGGTGATGCAGATGATGATGCCTCCTGCTATTTTTACATCCACAAGTAATACATAACAATGCTATAAGCAGCAAGAAAAAGAAAAGGGTCTATGCTACCACAAAAATTGGACCGTCAAGGGAAAAATAGCCCCCTACTCAGTTGCAGCTTTCCCTTTTTCCTTGTATGGCTTGACAAGCACACGCGAATCACAGATAAAATGAGGGTTTCCCCTGGCCAATATAAGCTTCACTGTCTCGGAATGAACAAACGTAACAAATCCGAACATTCGCTTCTGCTGATACGGGATCCTCACATCTTCAACTGGTCCAAAAGTGCTTCAAAACAGGGGGAAATGAATCGCTCGGTCAGTAACCTCAAATGACAATCAACAAGAAACATCAGAAAGAACTTCACCAGCAGATAAGAGATCCCTCTAATCATTAAAAAAACCTAAAGTTACACCACATCACATCCACAGAGCAATTAGTATCACAAAGTTATTGATCAGGAAACATCCTAACCACTTAATATCTTTTAACATGTCCAAAAACATATGTATAGGTTGCAAGTAAACTATATGAACTGCAACTTCATAATATGAAGCATTGTAAACTCAGGAAACATACACCGCCAGGAGCACGCATAACTTGAGTCTTGTCAAATATAGAAACATTTATCCTGACGCCCAGAGTGGCCAATATTTACCTAAAATAATTTGAAACATCCTCGTCTTTGAAGGTGCTATCTGCTGGGAATGTCAAATAGATTTGTCTAGAAGCCGAATTTGCTTTCTCAGCCATGGCCATTGCATAAAATTCATTTCTTTCTGTACAAAACCGGCCAAACTTGTGGAATTCATCACTGTTCATAGCTGCTGCAGCTCCTCCCAGTCTGCATTGAATAAAGACACATGCAGTAAGTTAGTTTAAGTATTGTAACTGCTACCCAACAACAGGGACAATGGCTGCTGTGGCGAACACAAATTGCTTAAGCAATCACCAGCAGGCAAATGCTCTACAATAACAATAAAAAAAGCTGAAGTATGGTAACAGCCTCATTTGTACAAGTCAAATTACATATCTGACAGATGATAAAAATGATAGTGGAGCTGCAAATAAGATAGGGCAGGCCCTATTCCTCATTCCTCCATACTACTTACCATAAACCGATACGCAAAAAAGGACCCAAATCAGCAAACCTCACTTTGACACAAATAGCAACACAACCTCGTAGACCAACAGGATTACTGAGATAATCTCAAACTCAAAATGCACATTAGAACAACATATACCTCTGTGTATCATTCTGCTGCTGCAACAAGAAGTTCATGTACTTGCTGTATGCTAATCTCTGTTGCTGCTGATGATGATGAGCAGCCTTCAATCTCATCATCCCTTCATGCTGCTGCAAGTAAAGGCTCTCCATTTCCCTAGGTGAACCAACCATAGCACGATTATTCAAACCTGTGGAAATGTTACACAAACAAACAGCAAAACCATCATCACAAGACTTCAAATAGACTCGCATTCACACAGAACCTAAGAGCAGAAAAAGAAAGAACCAAAAAAAGATACATACATGGTCTATACCCAATTCCAAATGCCCCATCTTCAGTATTGGGACATGCATCACTCTCCGAAAACCTCCTCCTGTGGAGTTGAGCATCCGCACCCACATCTGGGTACCCAGCTAATTGAAGACCAGGGTCAAATTCGTCATTCCTTGAAGAGGGATCGTCGAGAAAGGAAAGGTACTCGTCAAAGGGATAATCTTCAAGGGCATCCGCACTAATGCTAGAAGAATCACCACTCCCATTGCCACCACACTTGGAAAATGCAGCCCCTTTGAACGAACCAGCGCGTATACTATCGTAAGACAAGAAAGGACTGGACTTGGGACTGAGCGAAACGTTACTGTTACTGCTACTTCCGCCGCCGCCGCCACTACTGTTGCTATTATTAGCGTTAGCCGCTGCAAACCCAGACACCGGCCAGGAATGCGGAGAAGGGTTCCTCGCAAAATCAACGAAAGGCCCGCCACCAGGGCCGGGAAGCCGAGGAGAAGAAGAGTGGGAAAAAGGGTTACCGAAACCGCCACTCCCACCAACAACGACAGGCCTGGAGATGGGATTGAGCGGGGAAGAGGGAGTCAAAGGCGCTGTTGCAGCAGACAAGGTGTTCGGCGAAAGTCCCAAGTGAGTTTTCGCCTTCGCAATGACGCCCAGCAGGAAGGTCTCCGGGCCGAAAGCGAGACCGGCCAACTCCCTCTCGCCCACGTCGTGTATGAGGATGTAGCCCATGATTTTGGAGGCGTTGTCTGGGTCTATGGTCTTGATCTTCGACAGGAGCAAGTTGGTGGTCTCGTAAGGATCCATGGCCATGGAGGAGCCAAAGAAACCACAGAGACTGAAGCTATTTTTTTTGGCGATGATTTTTTGGGCTTTCTTTCTTCTGCTCACTTTACCTTTACCTTTTCTTCAACACTGCCCTGCTTCCGCTCGAGAAGTAGAGAGAGAGGGAGTGACAGAAGGACAGAGAAGTTGAAGGGGATTGATGGTGGAGTGGGATTAATTGCCCTTTTGGGGGAGAGGGAGTTGGTGCTCTGCTCTGTTTTCCCCTATTTTTCAGCCTTTTTCGTATATTTTAATTGGTTTTTTAAATTTTGTTGAACTTTGTTTTTTTTTTGTTAGGATTTTTCAATTAGGCCGCCAAACATGAATCCAAACCTTGATTTTGAGTATTTTGGAGGGTTGGAGTGAATTGCAAAATAAGGTTTACATCTATAAAAAATAATTGTATGTTTTTTTAGGTTCAAAGTGGTGATTCAAAGAACACTTTATGTTTGAATAAAAGGTATTTGCAGTGGATACATTAATTTGAATAACGTTCATGCGATATACGTGAACGTAAAATGACACGCGAGAAAGTATCCTTCGCATCAGTTTGGCACCTGAGTTTTGGATTTTTGTTACTCGCTTAAAAGTACTTGCCACGTGTGGAACAAAATTTATTAGTTTTATGATTCTCCTGTCAACGGTCACATCATCTAATAAGAACTTCAATAATAAATAGTACAACAATATCGAGCAATGAAACTATGTCTATCCGCATAGAGGCCACCCAAACTCACTGCGTTGCGAGTAAACATGATCGTTTTTCCAATACACTTCTACGCGGATAATACAGTAAGATAAACGACTACATCCATATAAAGCATATGATTTTTAAGTTTTCCATAAGCACAACCTTCTTTTGTATATATCAATAATCAGGAAATTCAGGATTTCGTACCCTAATTATCCAAAAAAAAAATAGTAACAATTTTCTTAACAAAAAAAAATTCTGGAAATACCAAGTTAATAAATAAATTGGGGAAAAAAATCGGGGATATTCTAGAAAGTACCAATTTACAAAGGACAGGATTGGAAAGTGTCAATAGAGAAGAGAGAGAAAGGGGGAAGAAGAGCCGGGTTTTGAGCGTGAGAGGAGAGGGACCAAACTTGTAATTTTTCACGGATATCGAGGACGGTCTAATCCTACTGGGCTGCAATCCCGTGTTTGCCAATGAGCGCTCGCACTTTCTCCAATGGGCCATTATCCACCGTCCGATTTTTGGGTCAGGGCGCGGGAAAAGGAAGGATCAGTGCCCCGACCCACTGGTCAAAGCCCATGCTTTAAATATTTGCCGTTCTCGGGATTAGACCAGTCAGAAGGAGTCACGTAAACGTAAATTTTACCGCCTGTGAATAAGTTACCGAGATAATTACTCTTTTCTTGTTTTTACCCTTATTGGGCTCTATTGGGAAATGGGAACGGAGGCCGGGAGGGCTTCTGGTTCCAGAATGGTGGGCCTGGTGCGGGTTGGAATCTTGGATGGGCCACCGCAGCCTAATGTTAACAATGAAATTGGGCTTTTGATGCGAATTGTGAAGTTCAATTAGATGAAAATATAAGGAGAAAATTGCTGTTTTTTCCAACCTATATTGTCAGTTTTTTTGTGAATAGTAACCAGAATGGGATAAAATTGAAGACTCAATCGATTTTCATCCTCGAGATCACTAGTAAGGATGTTTTTTCTTTTTTTTTTTTTGGTTCTCCACGAAACAAAATAAACTACAATTTAGGCATAGAGAAACTTTTTATTTAGTGATTGATGAAAATTGAAAAGGAACAAATATGTTAACAAAAAATCCAAAAATAAAAGAGGAGACAAGGAAAATAATAAGGAAAGAGAGTAACAGCCCATAAACTTCTAGCAATCATTGAGAGGGGGGGTCCTTTGAGACAAAAGGGTAGGCATCATGGATTAATTAATAAAATAAACAAATTAATTAAATGGTTGAGTCATTATTATTGTGATTGAGTATATGATAATAAAAAAAAGCCAAGTAAATATATTCCGTCTATTTCTTTATATAGTGTGCTTAATTGATTTTGCACCAAGTGTGTCTATTTGTAGCATGGTCCATGAAACCGTATCGTACCGGTGGTTCAAACACAAAATATCAGTATCAGAGGCTAAACCGGTAGGCGGTATTTAACGGTATTAACGGTTGAGTTACGGTTAAACCACGGTTTTGGCATAAAATACCCTACCACTGACTTTTCCGGTACGGTTTCATGGACCATGATTTGTAGAAGAAGATTTTTGTTTGGTAATGAGTATACTTATAGATGTAATGGTCTACCCAATTGCTTACTTCTAAGTGTGATTTTTTGCTAATATTAAACCAATCAAGGGAATACATTTATTTCAAGAGTGATAGCTAGTTGATTAACATAACCTACTAATAATTAATTATATTTATTGTGGATGGGGAACAACATATTTTGAAATTAGTTCGACAATACGTGGAATAACCCTATAGTTTACAACACCTAACACCAATATTTATGACTCATTAGTCATTATTCTTTCTTATGTGAGTGAAGGGTCTTGAGCCCTTATTATTTGTTCATGCCAAGGTTGTCAAACCGGTTTATGCCGGTGTGCCGGTTTCACAAATGAAATGGTTCAACCGTGGTATAACCGGTATACATACCGGTTTATACCTGTTTAAGAAAATATGTATAAAAAATAATAAAACATTCATAAAAAAATATAAACCCTAATTTATATCCCCAATCCGCCACCCCCAACACTGGGCTCGCAGAAGCACCACCCATGAACCCTTCCTCCTTTACCCTTTTACATAGAATGTCATGCCCAACCAAACCCTCCCAATTTCCATCTATTTTGGCTACCCTCAACAGAGATTATCTACAAACAGATTGCAGAGGGAGGAAGATGTGGTGGCGTCGGCGAGAGGAAGATGCGCCAGGAGGAAGATGACATAGAATTGGTAGCTTCGCCGGAGGAAGATGCGGTGGCCGGTGGCGTCACCGGAGGAAGACGGGCCGGGAGGAAGTGGCGCCGGGAGAAAGAGTTGCTCGAGCAAGACCTTGTGATGAGGCGAAGAAGACTAGGGATCGAGGATGGGTCTTGGGAGCTCGCCTGCAAAATCCCTAAGTGCAGCCTAATCCATTTCGACAGAACGACGGCGGATTGCTTATCAAACCGGCATTTTCTATTCCGGTTGAACCACCGACATTCCGGGTTTTGACCGGGTTTGACCGGTATTGACCGGAATTGACCAGAGGGTTATGCCGGTGGTATTCCAGCCGGTTTCATCACCGGCACCGGTTGAACCTGGTTCAACCGGCCGGCATACCACTGGCATGACAACCATGGTTCATGCTCTTTTGTAATCTATATTTCTTAAAATATAGTGAAATTAACTATCTCCTGTCCGTGGACGTAACTAACACATTGTGTTAGTAAACCACGTAAATTTGTGTTTCGTTCTTATTTTCATGTCATTGCTTTGTCGAATCCTCTAATTTCCTGATATGTAGAGAAAAAATCATGACAAATAATATGTTTATGATTAAAACAGAAATACCATGTTTTTTTCACAAGAATACTTGTATAATCTTCAAAAAATAACTACCGTGATAGTGTGTATCACGACTCATTACGATTACTAACAGTTGTTTATAAAATAAATAAATAAAAACATGCAAGACAAATAAACATTCACAAAATACCACACACCCACTTAACTTTTTGTCACCTTGCATCATAAATTAATCACAGTGTGAGAAAGAAGAGAGAAGGTGAGCCCATTATTATAAAGTAACATGCATAATCATCTTACTAGTTATCCACAGATAGGAAGGTGGGTGGGAGAGAAGAACAGAAGAGAAAACGAATTGACCAGTCTGGTCTTATTGTACAAATCAAGACATTGAGAAGGCAAGGCAAGCGCAATGAAAGAGAGTGATCCATCTCGATACGAATAAGAAACAATTTATGTCCTTTAACTTCATGTATGTATCATAACCTACTATGATGTCTCTGTAACCAAATAACAATGATTTTTTTGTCTTCCATGGGGCTCCCAAACAGTAAAACATTGGCCAAACTTGCCTCAGAAAACAATATAGTACTGCTACGGTTCTCACGTTTGCAGCAGGAAGGTTTTTGGGAGCCCTCGAATTATGTATTGTCATTGTTGTGTTCCAATGTATTTACTATCATAATTGTTGTACATTGGTTTTGATTAGTTATAGGACGTGTTGAGTTGATGATCTTGTCGCTATATAATCAAGTCAAGAGTTCGATCCGTCAGTACTCGTGACAAGGGATTGGTGACTACCGTCCATGGTGACACTCTAATGAAACACGAAAATATACAAAAATGACGTGGTTACTTACATTTATTATTTTATTATTTTTGCCTCGTATAGCATGTGAAGGCTCGATTATTCAAGCGTTGGCATGATCAACGACGTGCATGCATATACCGATGACTCCAAGCCAGAGAAAGTTGAGGAGGACAAGTCGTAGCAGAGCGTCATTGCCTTTTTATAACTAGTCAGTTGGAAAGACACGCAAGAAGCGGTTCCTACATCGACAAAAGTTAGCAATTAGTACCAAGCGTGTGCGCATATACACGAGATATGACATTAACAACGGTTACCATCCACGCAACAAGTCACATCTTATGGGTCTAATCTCATGCCAAGCAAAGTAATGCCAAGCCAGTTTTCCTAATATGGACATTATTGTAATGTACATTAGTACTCTTGTTAATACATGAACCAATGGTGGGGGGGAGCCCTTCCCATATTCTCTTATAGAAATTTCATATGGAGTTTTCTAAAGGCTCCCCAAATTGGGTTTTCTCTTTTGAGGGCAGAAACATGAGAGGTTAGGGTTTTGCATGATTTTGACATCCCAACCTCCTCTTCCCCTACAAACTATGAAGAAAGAGTGGTGATCACTTTGTAAGAAGAATATGGACATATTGCAACCCCACCATTGGTGGTCCTAAATTTGTGTATCCTTATGCCCTCTCCTTCTGGTTGTTGGCTGAAAGAAGGGCACAACCAATAGTTGATGTTGTAAATTGGAACAAAACAAAAGCACCTAACTTGCAATTGACAAGTTTACCCCCCCCCCCCCCCCCCAAAATCTTTGAGAAACACACTCATATACTTACATTTGTAGTTTAAATTCGTTTTGTTCTTTGAAGTAACACATGATATAAGTAACGGGATGCTGGTATATAAGACGTGCAATGTGTGTGGAAAAGAGTACTACGGCTCCCGAAACTACTCGTCCAAAATTGCAACAGAGGACACAAACATGTACAATCCTTTCCTCAAAACTCAAAAACACATGTGCCCAAAACAAATCTCGTGTACCATACACCAATTGAATGCAGTATTTTACACGAATGAGCTATGTAACTTTTTAGAAAAGTGAGTACTAATTCGAAACCATACATTCATCGACATCACGAAATAGACGACCCTTCTGTCCATGCAAAAAAGTTTTTGGTGGAGCAAATATCTATCTGTGAAACATTTTGCATGTGGCTGTTGTCCAACTTGCCCAAATCATTTTCTTCTTTACCCAATCAAACTGTTTTGTCCAAAACCAACCAAGTGATGGACTTGCAAATGAAATCTGAACCAGCAGGGGGGGTTAAAAGTGGGGATCATGTAGTTGGAAGGAGATAGAAAATTGAGTGGTGACTGGTGAGTGAGTTTGTACATATGAGTAGCCCCTCAGTGAAAAGGATAAAAACCAGTGATGGATATGTAAAGCTAATTTTGTCAGAAGGCCATGTGACAATGTGGCCCTCAGCCATTCATGTCCTCCAACCTAAAAAGAAACCACAATATGAGACAAAGGAGTCCCCCACCACCTCCCTCTACATACAATAAAAAAAGCTGCCTTTCTTTTTCTCTCTTCATTTTAATTAAAAAGAAAACTGAAATCTCTACTTCTGTAGAGCTTCTTCCTGCTCATCATTCATCAGAATCAATCACCTTTTCCCCTCTGTTGCCTGCAAACTGCAAACCCAGTCTCCATGATCTTAAAAATTGGGTGACAGATGCATACTAAGTTACTAACTATACTGGTAGATCACCTGACTCAATTGAAGGCAGCCTTTACCCCACACAGCCCTTTTGACTGCTCCATACTCCATCCTTTCACTTACCCTTCAGCCTAATTCACCTACATACCTGTAAGCAGGAGTAAAGAAAACTTCTGCCTCCTGCAAACCCATATAATAATCATAATCTAATACACAATCTATGAACAGAAAGAACACAACTTGGGAAAGGAAAGAGATCACTATTTCAACTTTCTCATATTGAATAGTAAGAACAAAAAACTTGCACAAATGGGAAAGGGAGATCTATTCATTTATAGACTAACTCTATTACTGTTTACTATTTAACAACAACAACAGCGCTTTTTGTTTATTTTCTACACTTTCAGCTATATATATGATTGCTGTGTGGTCCAGCTCATTACCTACATAGGTTACACAGTGAGAAAGAGGACAGCAATTTGGAAAATGCAAGACCTCAGTCCTCACCCTCTCTCTCAAACGCATATGATGATATGAATATGAAATTATCCTCTTCCCAACAGTAAAAAAAAAGTTAAAAAGAAAAGACTGAAAGAGCAAATATGATCAGTAGAAATAGTAGAGTACTGCCTCTGTCCTTTTTCTTACTTTTAATGTATCCATTATGTATTTTGTTGTAGTAAGTAGTATGTATTGATGATGGCGATCTTGCTCCCAAGGCCTTGTTTGTCTACAGATCTGTTTTTCCTTTCTTGTAGGGTATATGGTTCTTTGGGATATACAGCTAACCGATGACTATGGTGATGATGAGTTTGTAATGTATATTCTCTCATCTAGTCATCATCTGGCCCTTTTTTCTGTTTTTCTCCAATAGTTCTGCAACCAGGAAAGAAAAAAAGAACCAACAAAAACAGGCCAACATCATGAAAACAGTCCATGTTGTCTATCTGCTTTGCATGTGCACAAAATAGAATCCTATGCAGGATTAATAAGATATTAATACGAGAAATCCATGTGGTAAATCTCTTTTCTAACTTACCCTACCGAAGTCAATTCCAAGATCAAGGCTTTATTAAGTAGGGGGCTCTTTTTATATGCCAATAGTTCCATGCCCACCAGAGGTAAGCCTGATGAAGGAAAAAAAAGTTGCATGCTTTGTTAGTTTGTTTCAGTCTCAAACCCTCTCCGAGTTCTTTTGGAAAAAGGGTAATAAAACATGAAAGAGGTTCATAAAGGCACCAGCTTTTGTAAGGGTTAAATGTGTTACCTGGGCATTTGGGGAAAACAGGACTTCAAAGGGGTCATGTTGAGAGCAGAAGTGGTAGTGGTGGTGGTGGAAATCTCAGGAACTTCAAGAGATGCAGAGAAAGCAGTCTTGAGATGGTCACCGGCAGCTTTCTTGGGAGAATTGAAGAGGTTATCTGGGAGGTGGATATGTTCCAAACTGCAAAAATACTTGATAATCAATAAAGTACAAGCCCCTTCTAGTCTTTACTTAACCAACCCAACTTTTAGTTATTGTAAACCTCACATTAGCACTTTTTGTTACATTTCAACAATTTATCATTCCAGGAAGCAAAAAAGTTGAAGAGCTATCTTGGTCCCTTTATAATATTTTAATGGTATCTTTTTACTGAAAATGTTCAAAACAAAAAATAGTTACATTTCAACTTTTCTAATCCAGCCATTTCATCCTCACTTTTATTATCTCTTACATCAAACTCATTAATCACAATGTAATTGATAGTATTGGCCATTGTGGGTAATCTTCCCTTTGCGTATCTGAAAACGCTTTGAAACCAAATGTCTTACCTTTCCTGGAGACCATTTTGTTCAGTGAAGTACTTCTCTTCATTGCCATTTCCATTGCTTTGGCTGCAGGGAGGATTCAATTCCCGATCAACGCTTCCTGCAACAGCATTTACAGAAGCTACTGCTCCATCATCATCATCATGCAGGCAACCTCCATTCTCTGCACCAAAATTTAATACATAATAATATAAGTTAAATCAATCTCTCTCATTATCACTCTATCAAGTCGTTGCAGAAGCATGAAACCCACACGAATCTGAAAGGGGAATAAATTTAACAGCAATGATGAACTTGGAAACCTTCAGCTGGAGAAAGGCCTTCTTGGTCAATGCTACCAACACGGACCGGATGGCTGAAACTACGAGCCAAGCCAGTTGGGGATGAAACTGGAGACCCATTGGATAGACCATTAAGGAGATGCTGACGACGGTGGTTTTTCAGGTCGAGAAGTTGTAGACTCACTAGCCTTCTGCCATGGAGTTCAATGGCCTGCTGTAGATCTGTTTGTTCCTCTAATTTCTTTCGTAGCAGCATCTCTTGAGTGTTGTACAGCAATCTGGCCCCTGTAATTGGATAAGCACCAAAAAAGGTAAAAACTGGGGAATCTTGAAGATGGAAGGAACAAAGCTTCTTCTTTGTTTTCTTTTTCTCCTTCATTACAGTTCTACTTACCAAGATTAACGTCAAACTGCTCTCTGGAATCAAGCCAACGTGGGCTTGAACAAGCTGAGGGTGAAAAATCTCCTCTCTCCATCTGCTGCTGCTTCCTGGAACAGTTAATTGTACACCATAATCGTCAGAAAACATTAACATGAACACAATTAAGGGAGAGAAAAAGATGGGTCGGATCGGGTTGTGGAGAAGTACTTTTCAGGGATTTTGCCTTTCTCCTTGTAAGGCTTGACAAGCACACGAGAGTCACAGACAAAGTGGGGGTTGCCTTTGGCCAAGATGAGCTTCACTGTCTCTGGATACAAGAATGTGACGAACCCAAACATTCTCTTCTGCTGGTATGGGATTCTCACGTCTAGCACTGGCCCATAAATGCTTCAAAACCAAGAAAAAAATCCCAACTTTAGCGCACAGGAATAGAAAAGAAGAGGAAAATGAAACTGGGGATGGCACTAGTAAGTAGTAACCATCAAACACAGCAAAAATACCTGAAGTAATTGGAAACATCCTCTTCTCTGAATGTACTGTCAGCTGGAAACGTCAAGTAGATCTGTCTGGCACTTGGGTTCAGTATCCCTCCACCCAATCCCAACGGTGAGAAATCGGTTGTCCTCTCCGGCCGGCACCGGCTGAACTTGTGAAGCTCATCCCCCATCAACAATGCAGCAGCTGCAGCTGATCTATTGAGCAGGAAATGGAAACACGCTCAGTCATGTCCATTGTGCCAAACGAAAAAGACCAAAATCAACGGAGGAACTCACCTCTGGGCATCACTTTGTTGCAGAAGCAAATTCATGCACTCGTTATACGAAAGATTCGAAGCAGCAGGACGAGCCATGAACTGCGAGGCAGCAGCAGCAGCAGCTAACTTCTGCTGATGAACAGCAGACCTGGATCTCATGAGAAAGTCCTGGCACTGTTCAAACCCATTGAGCTTCTCAGGGGAACCCACCAGAGCAGCCACACCATCAGAAACAGCAGCACTCTCTCCTTCGTGAAGAAACTTGCAAGTCCCCCCATTCTTGCAGAATCCCTTGGCGAAGTACAAGCAGGGTTTCCAGCCAAACCCACCACCGCCGCCGCCGGCGCCTTCGTCGACGGCCCCGGACCCGAAACACACCCCAGGAACCGAATAGCTCCGCCTGTGGAAATGTGAACTAATACCATCGTCAAGACCCCCTCCAGCGGTTGGGCTCAAGAGATTCCCCCAGTCAGGCCTCGGATCAAACACCTGGTCTGCATTACTACCCTCGTCGAGGAAAGAGAAGTGGTCACGGTGAACTTGAAACTCATCAATACCCATATCATTACCAATACCACCGCCGCCATTATTACCACCAAGACAGCTGTTCCCGTTCCCATTACCGTTACTTCCTCCATTGACGACATTGGCGTAGGAAAGCGAAGGGCTGGAAGCAGCAGCAGAGGGAGACGACCCGTGGTCAAACGCCGCCCCACAACCGGAGATTCTCAGCGCGCTGGGTCTCGAGCTGAGGAAAGGGGACGGCGAGGAAGGAGTGGACGGCGTCGAAGGAGTGTTGGAATTGGAAACAGAGGAGAACGAAATCGTCGAATTCGAAGACGAAGACGATGGGGAAATCGGCAGACGCAAGTGGGTTTTGGCTTGGAGGATGAGATTGTGGAGGCAAGATTCAGGTCCGAAGGCCAATCGAATCATTTCTCGGTCTCCTTGATCCTGCAGCAGGAGGTAGCCCATGATTTTGGAAGCATTCTCTGGGTCCAAACCTTGGACTCTTGAGAAGACTGTCTTAGTAGCTTCGTAGCAATCCATAGTGCATGTGAATGGAGATTGTCGGGCGAGGAGACTGACCGACCGGCCGGCGACCGGAAGAAAGCTAGAGGTGGGAGTGAGTGAGGGAGCTGAGCTGAGTGTAGTAGTTAGCTGGCTAGCAGCAGGGTGGGGTTTTTTTTTGTTTTGTTTTTCTAAAGAGAGGGAGGGAGGAGAGTTGAAAAAATTGAAAATGTGGGGACTATATGTTGAAAATATTAAAATTGTACGTCGGACCGGACTAAGTTTGTCAACTCGGTTGAGCTCGGCAGTTCGGGTTAAGGTTAAGGATCCGATCGGTTTAACCAGAATATATGATCACCATTCTCATTGTATTATTCATATGTTTATAAATCATATCAAATATCATATGTGTTATTGAGAGGTGTTCAATTATGACTATATAGCAAGGATTAAAATACTGTATCGATGGTTCGACCTGAAAAACTTCTTACCGGATGCAAAACCGGTAGACGGTATTTAGCGATATAATACGGTTGAACCATGGTTAAACCACAATTTTAGCATAAAATACCATACCGCTGAATTTTTTGGTATGACCTCCGGTACGGTATTTCAATCATTGTTATATAGTATATACCACTTATTAGCAAGCACTCTCAAATCAAAAGTCAGCTCATAAGGATTTGGCGTTTGTACAAACATCAAAATACAATGTGCTTAACAAATGAGGTCATCAGGATTCGAATAAACACAGCTCAATCACATGAAGTTTTGGTAACATATCAATAACCGATTGACCCCAATAAATCGAATGCAATTATATACGTTATATACCAGTTATTAATAATATTCACATCATCATTTGGATTCATATGACTCGAAAACACTAAAACAACACAAGCACAAAAAAAAAGTATACTCATAGCCTTCAATTTATGCAGTTTTCTTAGTTAATATATAAAAAGAGAAACATACGATGTTCAAGTAGAAATAGTGTTGTATTATTCCCACCTAATTAATAATACTTGTCCTGAGCTAATCATACTTTGTCCTCTTTGATAATTATGAAACGCCATTACATTAATTAAAACAACATTATTAGATAAACAAACCAACTCATCAGAAACGAACAAGATTAGTTAATGTGGAAGAGAACACAGCAACAATCCATGCAATCGAAGGAGTAGGATTGTAGGAAGTGATTAACACGCGCCGCCATATGATGCGTGGGAGGGGAGTTTTCGATGGACGAGGTTGATGTTGGAGGCCACTGACGGCGTCTCTTTGAACAACCTACTTGAAGTTTTGTAGTAATTAAACATTAATGATAGAAATATCGTTAGATCAAACACTTGTTCATATTTGTTTTATAGTTATGAAAAACAACAATGTCTTTTACCTCATGTCTTGCTCGACAGGCAAACAACAATGTGATTGTGTATTTGAGCTATATGTATCTTTAAGGTATCATATAACGTGAGAGGTTTTGTGTTGTATCTGAATGACGATATAGTATTTCATGAAATAAGTATTTGTCAATTTACTTTTGTTAGAATCGATCGTGAAATCGACAATGCAAAAAAGTAGGGTTATAGGTATAATATGCCCCTCTACTATGACGTTTTATCAAACATATCCCTCTACCATTTTTTACATCAAACATGCCCATGTACTTTGTAAAAATGATCAAACATGCCTTTTTGTTAAAATTTTCATCCAAAAACCGTTAACCAAGATCGAACTTTAGTTTGGGCGACACAAATGACTAAAATATCCCTGAAAATTTCAATTTAGAATTTTTTTAGTTCTTTTGTATAATCAAATCATTCAAATAATTTCACTTTGAAAAGACCCAGAGAAATAAAACAGGGGACAAAACTGGCATTTTTCCTCCCATTTGTCGATGTCCGGTCGTCTAAATCTCGGTTCAACCATGATTGACGATTTATTCAATGGAAATTTTAACAGAAGGGCATGTTTGGTATTTTTTTTCAAAGTACAAGGGCATATTTGATGTAAAAAATAGTAGATGGACATGTTTGATAAAACGTCATAGTAGAGGGACATATTATACCTAGGGGTGGTAAACGGTAATCCGGTAAACGGTTTACCGTTTTACCGAATCGGTAACCAACGGTAAACGGTAAACCGTTTACCGGCGGTATCGGCAGCCGAGCGGGAAGTTGGGGGAGTCGGTTTACCGGACACGGTATCGGTAAATACCGACGGTAAATCGGTAATACCGATACCGAAATCCCCCTCCCTACTCCCTAGTGCTGCGCTGCGTTTTGTTGCTACCCAAACGGCCAAACCCTAAAAAAATCAAAATATTACAACATCACCCCACTTCCAGAAATTCGGTTCGGTAAATATTCGGTAAACCGACCAAAAACCCGCTCGAAATCGCTTCTCACGGTATTTCGGTAATACCGGTTTGTAACCGTTTACCGGTAATTCGGTAATCGGTAAACCGGTTACAAAACGGTATCGGTAATCGGTAACCAATTTGGCCAACTTCGGTATACCGAAACAGGTAAATTCGGTAAACGGTAAATTGTTTACCGACCGAATCCCACCCCTAATTATACCTATAACCCAAAAAGGTAAAAAAAAAACACACACAGATTTATGTGGTTCACTAACACAATATGTGTTGGCTCGTCCACGGTCGAAAGATAATCAGTTACGCTATACTTTAAGAGATACAGATTACAACGATTGAGAATGTATATATAGTTCCTTCTCGAGCTAACCTAATCTCCTGTGAGAGCAAATAGTTCATGCATTTTGAATAATCTGACTCGTTAATTAAGAAGTTATCCTCCTTATTTTTTTTGATAGAAAATGCCTGTATGCTTTATTTAATCATCAATCGAAGAAGCATTACAGTCCCTCAACAATTGGGGTAACATAAAGATGGGTGGCCGGTTCGACCAGATTTCGGTTTCTTCCCATCTGCCCTCTATCCGAGCCATTTGATGGGCCGCTTCATTTCCACCTCTTCCCCAAAATCGCCATTCCACCTCCTTTCCTTGACTTCTGTCCCTTATCTCTTCACACACAGTCTCTATTTCCAGATTAATCTGCTTCTTTCCCTGTAGTTTCTGTATCAAGCTTTGACAATCCGTTTCCATTATCGCTGGGTATAGCTGATGCTGTTGCATGATCTTCAATCCCCACAAAAACGCCTCTGCTTCAGCCATTTCGGGTTGCCAATTTACCCTCGTTCTTCGAACAGCAGCTAGAACAAACTTCCCTTCCTTATCGCGAACCACCAACCCACTCCCAGTTCCCCCCTCCTTCAAGATACTGGCATCCACGTTTGCTTTGTAGCCTTCCAATGGCCTTTCCCATATGTATCTTCGGTTCGGCTGCGTCGGTGCCACATCTCCCTCCTGAGCTCGTCGATATTCTTCCAGGTATAGCTGCGCTCTCTCTACCACCTCCCATTCCTCTAACTTCTGATTGTTAAACTGGTGATTGTTTCTTTCTTTCCAAATGAACCACAATGTTATTAGGAACTCACAGATTTCCTCATCCTTCGCTTGGTCAAGTACCTCACAGATCCAATTTCCACAGCTCCGATCTTCCCCAATTCTGAATAGGTTGCTTAGATAGCTAGGTCTCCATATTCTGCCCACCCAGTCACAGTCTCGTGATATATGTTCTTGAGTTTCCACAAGTCCACAGAAGGGACATTCATCACTTACTTCTGGAATTCGCCGAGCTAGATTTCCACCTGTAGGCAGTATATTCGATCCCCATCTCCACACAAACACCCTCACTTTTGGTGGCAGCTGCAAATGCCATAGTCTTGTCCAATCAATAGGTTCATATTGTTCTGGGTTGCCACTCATTCTCTTTAATCTCCAAGCATGATACCCAGTTTTCACAGTATAGAATCCTGTTTTACTCTTTCCCCAACACCTGCTATCTGGTCTCGATCTTACTGGAATAGGTATAGTTTTGATTCTTTCCCTGTCAATAGGCTGGAAGTGTTGTTGTAGTAGATTACTTCGCCATGTTCGACTAGGGCTGTCAATCAAATCTGATACCCTTGCATTCATACCTAGACCTGTCACTGTGGTTTGGATTTTGTAATTTTCTGCATCTGGGATCCATCTATCCCACCATATACGTATGCTCTGACCATCACCAACCCTCCATCTTGTATCTTCTTTCACTAATCCCTGAGCCGCCATGATACTTCTCCAAATATAACTAGGATTGTGTCCCAATTCAGCTTCTAGAATATCAGTATAGGGGTGGTACTTTGCTTTTAGAACTCTAGCAATTAGTGAATCTGGATTTTGCATCAAATTCCAAACCTGCCTGCCTAGTAAGGCTAGGTTGAACCCATGTAAATCCCTGAATCCCATTCCTCCCTCCTTTTTTGGCTTGCACAGTTTTTCCCATTTCATCCAATGGATTCTTCGTTCACCATTCTTACTCCCCCACCAAAAGCCAGAAATGATGCTATGCATTTCCTGAATTATCCCCTGTGGGATTAGGAATACCGACATTGCATACATTGCTTGAGCCTGAGCAATGGCTTTTATTAAAACTTCCTTGGCCGCATTTGATAGAGTCTTTCTTTTCCACAACTTTACTGTTTTCCTTACCTTGTCAATGAGCTGGGTAAATACTACCTTCTTCGATCTTCCAATAATTGTGGGCAGACCTAAATACTTGTCATGCTGTAGTACATGCTTCATCCCCAATAGCTGTGCCATTTCTTCTCTCTGGTCTTCATCCACATTAGTACTGAAAGTCAGCTCTGATTTCACTAGGCTCACCTGTTGACCAGATTCCTTCTCATAGGTTTCCAGAATCCACTTCAAAGTCTCCCCTTCTTGCCTCTTGTTTTCAAAGAAGAATATACTGTCAACAGCAAACAGTAAATGGGTTATGGTTGGGGCATCTTTACTGACCTTTATTCCATGAATTTTTCCTTCTTGCACTGTCTTCTCGGTTAGACAGGATAACCCTTCTGCACACAGTAGGAATAAATATGGGGAGATTGGATCTCCCTGCCTAATTCCTCTTGTAGGGTAAATAACCTCAGTTTGATGACCATTCACTAGGGCTGAGTATGTTACAGTTGTTACACATTGCATCATAAGTGCAATCCAGTCCTGAGAAAAGCCCATTTTCTCCATTACTTCTTTCAAGAATCTCCACTCCACCCTATCATAAGCTTTGGCTATGTCAAGCTTGGCTGCCACAAAC